GTGAGGCTATCCGTACGTGAACTCAGGAGGGTGATGGCGGATGACACTCACCCTTGCCAGCAGTTCCTTGAGCCGGGTAGACGGACAACCTACCAACTACGCCGTCAGACTTCCAGCTACAAGATACCACTTAGCCGTACAGAGAGACATAGACAATCATTTATCCCCAGATCACTCAACATCTTGCAGCAGTGAGGGACACTATAGACTTTTTAAAATCTGAAGGACACTATAGACTTTTATAAAAATTTTATTGCCTCCTTGTATTTGTATTCTTAAGTTGTTCCACTCAATTATTGTCTATATTTTAATGTGTTATCGATATTTTATACAATACGTCATTATCGGATATTTCTTTTAACACTAAATCTTTTTAACGCTAAAATGTTACAATTGTTATTATTAATATGGAATTACATGTGACTTGCAACACAATTCAGGCTGTTTCAGCCTGCAATGTTGTTTTGATGAATAAAGTTTCAAAGTTTCAAAGTTTCAAAGTTTCAAAGTTCCAGATAGACCTACTCAACATTGCCTGTTATCAGATGTAGGATTGTTAAGTATCGAATTATTCTCATTGTTGAATCACATGTTGTAAATATATTATGATCCAAGGCCTTTCAAGTAACATTTGATTTACTAGTAGTCTACCAGGATTAATAAGTTTTTTTTTTTTTCAAGCAGGAGAACATCAGAAACATGCTACCATAGAAAACAGCTTCCAATATGTTAATAACTTTTTGTGGGAAAATACTAGTAGACAGTGATTTTGAAACTTTACCTATAGCCTAGTACACATGTACATGTGCATGCATGTCTCAAAGTTCATCATTTTGCTGATTCTTCTTGGTTATACAGGTTTCATTCATATGTCTATCTCTCAGTACGCTCTAAAGTAGCATGAACTGAACACTTTATGTTCATGGTCTGAGAAAAATTAAAGTGTTTCCAGAACTTTTTCTTCACGGTGGCAGCAGGTGCGGAAAAAAGAAAGTCAGCAAATTATTCGTAAAGGCAAACGGTAATGACAAGTTTGCAGTACAGAAGTACATGTAACTGCTAACGTAAAAGTAATGTGAAAAAATCAGGAATTATAGTATACATTGTACTATGTTCCAATTCCCTGACTACCTGTTATATCGAGCGGGTATGAAGAAATGAGATACTTTTGTTTGTTCAGTGTAGGTCAATTTACATAAAGGGATTAGTCAATTTAACATGAAAAGGTTCTGGGGTGTAAGGGCACAATTTCTGGGTGGTCCTGAAAATATCCCTCAACAACAAAGTCACATTTTTTCTGCGTCTCCTTAACGTATCATGTCTAAAAGCATTTTGTAAGATAAGGTATGATTTACAATTAGGGAGTTGCCCGGCATTTTGCTGGACAGAGATAGGAAAGTAAACAATCACTAGGACTAACTAAACACAGCTACATGTAATAGACAGTTGATAAGTTACTTTTTTTCAAGAAGGTACAAAGTTAGTCATTTATTACATCATGTTGGCAAACTGAAAAGAAATGCCCCAGACAGAATTGATAAGGAATAAATCAAAACATAAAAGCCCTTGTTTAGCAAAAGGAATGTGGTACAGAGAGCATTTCAGGTACTTTTTCCAACCTATATGTTAGTTAACCCTGAATCAGATGCTTAATCTTAAGATTCGTGGTGACAGCAGGTGCAGAAGAAAAAAAGTCGCCATATTACAACTGTATTTGTTCACGGTAAATAATAAATTCAAAGTACAGAAGTGAAAACAGAAACTGCAAATATAAAATGTTTTACAGTATGTTAAAGCTTTTGCCTAACAGTTGGTACATGTAAGTCACAATTTCTTGCGTTATGACAAGACGTTTAAACCACGTGTATTGTACCTCATTTGTGCCAACTTATTTGATTTTTATTCTCATTGGTTTGTTGGAAATTAAATGATTTTCTTTGTTTGTTGTTCAGATCCAGGACTCTTCAGACAAGTGTAAGACCTGTGGGAAGAGGGTTTATCCAGTGGAGAAGCTTGTTGCAGACAAGAATGTCTACCACAACACCTGCTTTAAGTGTGCTGAATGCAACAGGACACTGAGGTACAAAAAATTGACAGTTCTTAAACTTACGTTAAAGGCATCCAATGCAATGTCAGGGTGACAAAACTGGATTTTCATACTTTTTGGTCATTCTTTTAATGGAGTAAGTTGAATCAATCCTATACCATACCATACTGATATCTGTGCAGCAAAAATGTGATGTTGCTGAAAGAAAACAGTTCCATGTTTTGTTATGGGTGGTACCCAAAAAATAAAAAGATTCTATCATGTGCCGCAAGTATGAATTGAAGATGAAAATGTGCAGTTAATGTCAATGCCAGACAGATATCTTGATCAAAAATATTTTTTGCTGCCCTGAAATTGTACTTTGATACCTTTGACCTTACTGGTAAACTGCTGAATAATGACCATATTTTAGTTACTTCGGAATGCACAAAATTTTCAAATCATGCCTGGATAATTGGGAAATTATTCTGTCCTTTCTGGCACTTGTATTGTCTGGCAATGTGGTTTCAACTAGGTCTGCTGGCATGCATAGGCAAACATATCAATTACCTACAAACAGTAGCAAGGCAATCAACAGACCATCTAGAACTCTGGAACAATCTTTTAGGGCATGTTTTGGTCTATAATACAAGCCAATAACACCATCCAACACCCATATAACTTCTATTAAAAGCTATGCTGAGGAGTAAGGCCTAGGAAAATTATTGTTGTGTTTCCAGTTTCAGTCTTGAAAAAACTAGGGTTGGTATAGGTACAAAAAACAAATGTAGGGATTTTCTTTTTTTTTTAAAGATTTTTTTTTAGATTTCGCCTAAACAATCCAAGAAATAAAGTTAAACAAAATGCATCGGGACCCATCCAGAGTGTTTGCTTGTGGACAAATATTTGACCCGATTTTCTGAAGAAAATAGCCTTTGAAAATGCATTAAATGACATTTCAGACAAAGAGGGTTTAAAATTCAGGGAGATTGTCAGATTAAAAATTTTACTGCCTTACCAGTGGTAAGTAAAAAAAAAAAGGCCAGGGTTAAGTGTGGGTTTTGCTAGGGTTGATCGGGAAACTGGAAACACATTATTTCCCCAGGCCTAAAGCAGTTTTATTGTCAAACATGTGTTGACATATAACCCAATAGCTAAGAGAGTCCTGACGTTTTTATGGTGTTGTTTGCTAATAGGGTGGGTACATACGCCTCCATCGATGGAGCTATCTACTGCAAGCCCCACTTCCAGCAGCTGTTCAAGCTGAAGGGGAACTACGACGAGGGCTTCGGCAAAGAGAGAGCGGTCAAGAAGTGGTCTGCCGCTCAGGGTGAGTAAAGACCCAGGGATAAACAACAACAAAGCATGAGACCAACAAATACACAACCAGCGTTCTACTTCTAGTCATCTTAAAATTTCTCCAATATCTCAATTTTGTATGATGTAACATGAACAATCCTAGAGGCCCCGGGGGCATGCACTTTCAAGAAAATTTTGAAATCTTGATCCTCTAAAACACCTTCAAATTTAAAGATGTCAGATTGGGCAGTATTTTGTCTGTGGTGAGTGGCAAAATTCTGTCAAATGATGGAAAGATGGATGCTGGCTAGAACATTGACACAAACTATTGTCATGTTCGTGTGCTCTGACTTCTAACCTCATAGGAAGATATCTAAGAGGTACATGTACATGTAAATGAGGTAAAATACATGTATTTACTTTGGATACCTCTATCTAAGGTGTGATGGAGCAACATCATGTTTTTCTTACCAAGCTTGTACTGGCCAACACTGAGTACTAAACTGATGTGTTAAAGCGGCTGACTTTTTGGAAGCCTAAATTTCTACTTCAGCTGTGTTTGCACAGGTTTATTTCTTAAATGACTTTAAAACTAAGCAATTGCTCATTTAGCAAATTACGTAAACAGCCGGATACACACAGTAACTGTTATGAAAATTCCCACTCAGTTCAGTTCAATGAATGGGTCATTAGCAAAAGGTTCAGTGAAAGAATTTCTGTAACATGATTCATAAGTATAAAGTTATTTTAGTTGTAAATGATTTAAATATCTGAGCAAATATTACAAAAATTTCCTTTTTAGTTCCAGACAATGAATTAACATTAACCAAAGGTTTAGCGAAAGAAATTCTGAAACATAATTCTTAAGTGTAAAGAATGGGGATGGATTGAGGCGTTAAAATGTTGTTAGAAATATTTCTGAGAAAAGAGTTAATGCCTGGTTATATATACATGTACATGTACAATGTAATGACAAGGCATGCACATACAGTCTTTCATATGGACGCTGAAGTGGGAGGGGGGTACTCTGATAATTCTGATCACAGTTACTGTACACACACAGTCTGTCTTCTGTGGTAACCAATTAGATTTAGAGTACAAACAGTGAACCTAACTAAGGGAGAAAGGCAGGGGAACCAGACAAGTGTGCCTTTGTGCTGTAGTGAAGCATAGGCTGAAGGTTTTAACCCGCCACAATAGCTTGTCTCACACAGATTAAGAAGAGAGTGCCGGCTTTCTATAGGGGTATTGTGAAGGGCAAGTTCAGAGGGCTAGTTCATTAAGCTCAGAGGGCTAGTTCATTTAGACTCAAGAGGGGTGAATGTGTTTGTATATCCAGCCATCATTGTTACCGATACAGTGCAGTGGTCTGCTTCTAGTGTTCGGCAGTCCTGTTTCTTGGCCACAGGGTCGTGGGGTCAAATTGATTGGAACTTTATTGGTAGACATTGCAGTATTTTAGACTGAAAATTTAAGTCTAGACTTTTATCCAGATTCAAAGTAACTACAAATGTACAGTTCTATGCATCTTTCCCTAACATGCACCATGGTGAAATATTCATTAAAGTTACTGTAGTTTCTACTTTTTTGTCTCTACCTATTCTGTAACATAAAACATACTAAAAACAAAGCAGAGCTATTATACATGAACATGTACACATGAGTGCAAATGTTCATTAATTTAATAGTTTCTACTTTTGTCTGTAACATGCAGCCTACTAAAAATAAAGCAGAGCTATATACATGTATATACAATGTACTTATACACATGGGTGCTAATGTTCATCAAAGTAGTTTCTACTTATGCATGTAATATGCATTTGTACATGTACATTTGTACATGTACTACAGGAAAAGGAGGGCTACACAAGTACATTTAAACGTGGGCGTGAATTGTCACCAAAGTAGTTTTGTACTGCTGCCAGACACATTAGCGTAAACTAATCAAGGCTGCTGACGTCACGGGACTGCCCATTCTGTCGCCAAGGCTACCTGTGTCTGGAATCCCGGTGTGTTCATAGTGTCTTTCTTGTGACTGAATTGGGGAGGCTAGGAAAGGAGTTTTCCAACTGTTGAATGTTGTGTTTTAATAATGTTTTGATTCATGATATAAATTATTTTGGCAAAGCTGTAGGTGTCTTCTCCGACACATACATTGTACAATATGTACATGTATATTATACAAAAAACAATATGATGTACTTGTGGACAGTTAGAAATTGCTTTAAATTACAACAGGAAACCCCATACACAGTCACAAAATCATGTTTCAAAATATGGAGATACGTATAGTGAGGAAAGAATTCCCTAGTTCCATGGAAACAGGTATTCAATACAAACATTTTGATACCTTCCCGCTTCTGCTGTTCAGTATATGTGTATGGTGTAATAATTATTTTCTTCATTTTGCAGGTGACATTCCCCCAGATGGACTTCTGAAGACGGAGGCACAGGAACCTGCCAAGAAGCAGCGCAGGGGCAGGGATGGGGATGCAGGTGAGATAGTCTTAAATATTCTTTTATCATAGTCAGACTTTGTTGTTGGTGGAATGTTTAGAGATTGTTGGGAATATGTACTTGTAAGGCCTAGGAAAAAAATGTTGTTTCCACTTTCCCAACCGACCCTGGAAAAAAAACTGCTAGACCCTAGCCTTTAAACAGGAAACACAACATTTTTCCTAGGCATAAGGTACAGTATGTATCAGTTGCATAGATTGAGAAAGAAATTGTCTGCTTGCTTGTACCTATAGATGAATCTCGAGCTGAAAGAGAGGAGGAAGTCCCTTCATCTGACAAGAGTATGTTTATAATTGACAGTTGTTTTGTAACTAGCTGGGTATAAGGTTGACATGTGCATGTGGTATTGTCTCTTAATGTATGTACATGTACATGAATGTACAAATTTCTGGATTAAGGTTGCTATTGACTTTATTAGCCTTGCTTCTTTTTTCATATCTTTCCTTGTCTTTATTCTCAAGAGCCTGTCAACGTACTTGTCATCATTTTTTAGCAAAAAAATGATTATTTCAATATTTAGGTGAAGATGGTGAAAGTGAAGATGAAAAGGAGACCAGTACAACACCAGTTACTAACAAGAGTATGTTCAACTTTTTTTGAAATAATTTTTCTTCTGGTTGGTGGAGGTTGGACATTCTGTTATAGGATAGTTACTATATAATAGCATATTATTACATACATGTATTCAATTATAGATTATTATAAATAAGGTCTTTGTTTTGTAGCTGCAGCTGGAAAGGAAAAAGTCAAAGGAAAGCCCTCCTCACCAGAACACAGTATGCAGATATTTTCTATAAATATTTGGTGAATAGATTGACAGTACTGTTACTGTCTGCTATAGATTTGTCTTAAGGGGTAAGGTATGCTGCATTTGTAAATGACTGATTGAATTAAAATGTTGATTTTGTTTCTCTGCAAGTTCCATTATCAGGGTCAACTTGCATGTTCATGATTGTCATTTTTGTATCATAAAGAATGCTAATTTCCATTTTTAGGTGAAGATGATGATGATGATGTAGATGATGATGAGGATGAAAAACAGACCCTGACAACACTGAGTACTGACAAGAGTATGACTTGACTTTTTTTAACTTCTTCACTGCTCTTCTATGTGGTAGCTATTGGAAATGGTGCACAAACATGTATAACTTCCCCTGTTAGACTTTTAGGACCTCTAACTTCATTGCAGACTTGTATTCAACAGATTGTTACAAGTAAGATTTTTGTTTGTAGCTGCAGCTGCAAAGGAAAAAGCTGAGCCTGAAGGAAAGTCCTCATCACGAGAACACAGTATGCAGTCAATTTTCTAAAACATGTGGTGTTGATTTCTTCAAAGGGATATGGTTGCTACAATATTTTGTAAATGGCTGACTGTCTTTCTTTCTTTAAAATCCATTCTCAAATACTGCTGACATACATGGGAGTAGGCATCGTTTTGTAAATATAATTTTCATATTTTAGGTGAAGATGATGATAGCGAAGATGAAAAGACCATTACAGCATCCGTTACTAACAAGAGTATGTTCACCTTTTTTTTTTTACCTTTTTTTCTCATTTTTCTTCCATACCGATACGGTTTTGGTTGGAAATGGCACAACCTTTTAGAGGACAATTAATTATCTTCATTACAGAATTGATTAGGTCTTTATTTTGTAGCTGTAGCAGCAAACGACAAAGCTGGTGGAAAATTGCCTTCAGTACAACAGAAATCAAGTCCCAGTGATGGTAAAAAGAATCATCTTTACCTGTATCATATCTTAACTAAAAGATATTAAACATAACATGATTTTTCCCTCTTTTAATTCCTTAATTCTCTCCATCATCAGATGCTCAAATGCTCTACCATGTCTGTACACAATGTATGTAGGAAATGGAGTTTAAAAAACAATTTGATATTTTACAGCTGTCCCCAAAGAGAGCCGTAGAGACAGCAATGTTTCTATGAAGAGTATGTACCGCTCATATTAAAGTTATTTTTGGTGGTGAGGGTGCATGCGCAAAAAGAATTCTTGATATTTTGAGTTGTTCATTAAAAGTCACAAAGAAAGAAAATGGTTTGAAAAGAATCTTGTGGTCGCCATGGTTTAGGAATGTTTCAATGTTTTTGATTTTTGCAATAGTTTCTTGCCACATGCTTGTCACAAGACAGTAGACAGGCAGTGGTAACAAAAGTTGTTGTTTCTCAGAGTTTCAGGGAGAAACTTTCAGATAATTTCAGAGAGAAACTATTTGTTCATGGTAATGATAAATTTGTGGTACAGAAGTAACCGCGGAAAACACAAATATAAATTAAGTAAACATGTACCGCGAATATAAAGTGAATTTTGACAGTTAAATTCCAGTGACACCATGATCTGATAAGTCATATTGTTAAATTTCAAAGGAATTTTAAGAAAATTATGAATACAACTTTCTTGTTCACAGCTAAGTTCTTCTTAGAGAAGATACAAGACAGCAACGTTGATGTCCCACCTTCAACAAAGAGTACATGTATGTGTCTTTTAATGACATGATAGTCACTAAAACAAGTCTCAAAATTCCGCTTCTACACTTCTAAACTGTTTTTCTGAAAATTCATCATGGCAAAAACAAATTTCAAATGTAGACACAGTGTTTCATGTACCTGATGTCATTTTTTTGCCTCATACCCTAGCTCTTCCATCAAAAGTTACGAAGGAGAGCAAAGTCAGTTCATTGAAGAGTATGTTGGACCCCTTATACTTCCTAATTGCAGACTATGTTGATAAACTGTACAATATATTCTTTCCTGGGTGTAGAACTTTTTTTATAAATTCAGAACCATTGATAACCATTTATTTGTGGTGAGCTAAATTGTAAATGCCAAGCAACACAGCCTTGTACATGTACATGGGGTGTTATAATTTAGTACGTTTTACACTGGGTAAAGGATCACACATTTCTGCTGCCAATGTTAAAACATTTTACAAAATAAATAAGGTAATTTACATCAATTTCAATCAACATCCCTTCCTACACAGGCAGATTTGCTGACAAATACAAAGAAAAAGACAGTGGAGTCCCTTTCTCGAAGAAGGGTAATTATATTATACGATACATGTTGGCATGTAGTTTACTTAGATATTACATGTTCATGTCATGTTATATTTTGTCTGACCCTTACATTGTACCTCTTCTCTCATGACCTCAATAAAAAGTGGCAAGCATGCTGCTTTGAGCTTTCAAGAATAAAGAATGGTTCAAACAAACAACCAAAATGTGAGATTCATATGGGATATTTTACTGCATAAAATGGGTGAAAAGGTGTGATATGATTTCTAGTTGGTTTAGCATAGACTGAATACTTTTCCTACCCATGCCCACAGACAAGCCAAAGGACAGCAAAGAGGCCCTTAAGAGTACGTGTGATGTCACAATTTTTAGTCTTTCTCTGATCTTTTTTTTTTTGCATTCAACCAGTTGTGTCTGTTACTGTGCCTAAGTTACAGATGTTGACATGAGCCGTTGTTTTTCATAGCTGCACCTGCAAAGGAGAACACAGACAGAAAGATCTCTTCTCCGCAAAACAGTATGCCATATTTTTTTAAAGGTATTTGGTGGTGGACCGTTGGAACTTTGAATCAATATTCAACAGATTTCAATCAGTTTTCACAGAGTTTCTGCTCATTGTCTTTTTAGAAAGTTATCAGGAGTTGTTATTGGTGTACAGGAAAATGCAAATTTTCTAAATGTTCTCTTTACTCATAGCTGCCTCAGTAGACAAGGCAAAAAACACCAAAGTTTCGTCTTCACTTAAGAGTACATGTATGTGTTAATATGTGTTTCTGGTGATTTTAGCTTAGCTCTAAAATTTTATATGATTTAAGACAATCTCTAGGATTTTTACCTGTATTTTTTTAGAAGTATTTATCAGAAGGGTGAAAAATGGATAGATAATCTTATAGATAAATGTATGTTAACATAGACTGACTACACTGAAAACGTATATTCCACTCCCAGCTTCCACAATGGATAAACCAAAGGACAGCAAAGATTCAAGTTCACTAAAGAGTATGTGATCATTTTGCATGACATGACATCTTTTTACTGACCATAAAGCCATTTGAATCTAGATCTATTACTTACATGTATTTGTACATCAATAATTGCTTATCAGTACAATAAAATTAAACGTATTAATTTCTTTTTGTTGTAGCTGCAACTAAGGAAAAAGCAGACAAGCCTTTGCCTCAAGAAAACAGTATGATGCCATTTTTTCCTCAGATTGTTTGGTGATGGGCAAAACTTTCAAATGATTTCAATCAGCATGCACAGAATACCTGACCAATTTCTCCATTTTAGGAGAAATATTATTCAAAGGGATGAAATGAAGTGACATGTTGTTATGACTGTTGCTGTGTTAGTATTTTAAACTGACTGAATATACCTGTACTTCTCCCATAGCTGATAATACAGACAAGGCAAAGGACAGCAAAGTTCCTACTACAGTGAAGAGTAGGTTTTTATTTCTTGAAATAGTAATATATAATCATATTCCATCTTTGTACTTACTTGTACCCGATGTATTTATTAATGTTTATCTTTACTGATAATATTTCTTATGATCTTTATGTTAAATGTTTTTTTTTTGTAGCTGCACCAGCACCTGCAAAGGAAAAATCAGAGGAAAAGTCCTCTTCACCACAAAACAGTATGCTGTATTTTTAGAAAAACTATTTGGAAATGGATGACAACACTTTGGTTTTCTTTAAAAAATGTCAGTTATATGGTGATGCTAATACTACATGACTTCTCTTTTGGGGACTGCAAAGCATGCAATTTTCATCCTCAGCTTTTGAAAGCACGCTTATGATAAAGTCATATGCAACAGAACATTGCTGCCTAAAATGTATAATGTTCATGATACTTTCAGCCATTTGAATATGGAGAATTTACATTTCTACAAATAAAAGCTGACATTGGATTCGAACAATCTCTTTTACAGCCATTCCGTCAAAGGACGCTACTAAAGATTGGGATTCCCTGTTGTCACAAAAGAGTATGAAATTCTTGTTTGAAACTGTTAGCTATTATTAATATAGAAGCAATAAAGTTACCTGGTAGTGGTTGTTGGGGAAGTGAGCTTTGCTTTGGTAAAAGTACAATGCAGTAGGTTCTCTGCTTTTTCTATGATCACTGTCAGACAGTACACTGTATGTATTAAACAGGAACAATTTGGTTTGGTTTGCAGTTACATCCATTCTTAGTTTTGATGCAACTTATTAGTAAATGGTATTCTATGTTTCCTTTGGTACTTTGCATGTCAGAGATATTGTTTTCCAGCTTTCATTTATGACAATGTTTTTGAAGGACCAGGCATGATACACTACTTTTCATCTGAATAATGACAATGTCTTAAATCTTGTAAATGCATACTAGAGCTGAACATAATTATCTCTTTTACAGCACCTACAAAGGCCAAAGACAGGAAGTTCTCTTGGTCAGAAAAGAGTATGCAATCATTCTTGTTAAAAACTATATTGGTGCTAGAAATTTAAGGTTGTGTAAAAGATTTGCTAATTAGTGCTTTTTTCTTTCCTCTGACTTTACTTAATCTGGGGGATTTTTTTTGCCATTTGGTATTGATACTTACTTTGTACATGTATTACTCTTAGGTAAGGTTCCTGGTTATCACAATATGTTTCATACATACATGTAACTTTTGTGGTGTTTATTGTAATTTCTTTCTTTTCGTTGTCTTGAAGGTTACTTGTATGATCTGTGTACTGCATGATTTCGGTGTCAGCCAATGACTTGGGCAACAGCATGGACAAAACTTTCTTCTTTTTCCAGCATTTGTGAAGGATGATGTTTTGCAGTACCATGTACAACATACTGCTTTTTCCTTGTACTTGTTTTTGAAATAATAATGCACACTGAATCTTTTTTGCAGCTACTCCCAAAAAGGAGGTTTCCGACAAAAAGTCCTCTTTACCAGGAAAGAGTATGCAATTTTTCTTTCAAAAATTTTGGTGATGGACGCAAGTTGTCAAGGTTGTTTTAACCCCCAAAATGGTTGTACAACTTTGTACCAGGAATGTTGACTTAAGTACTGCATGACTTTTCTTTTGAGGCCAATTGTTGAGACAGAAGCGATTTAGCGATTTTCATGATGACTTTCTTTTCAGCTTGTGTTTAGGGTGACGGTTCACAGAGACCCACTTATGACTTACATCTATGATGTACATGTACCTTCCATGTCTTAAAGACATCCCATGCAATTTCAGAGCGACAAAACCGAAACATTTTCCGAAGAGGAAATCTGTCTGATACTGACATTTACTGCCATTTCTTAGCATAATTTCCATCATCATTTCATACTTTTGAAGCTCTTGAAATGGCCAAAAACAAGCTGAGGTGTGGTATCTCTTTATTTGTTGGGTACCACCCATAAATACATGTAGCTAGAACCAGCTTACAATACAAAACAAGCAACCATTTTCTGTTAGCAACATTGCATTTTTGCTTCAAAGCTATCAGTGTGGTATGCCATGGGATATAGGATTGATCTAACTGTAGTAACATTTAAAAATTAAAAATGACAAAAAATGACTTTGAAAATCGGCTGCCCTGAAATTGAATTAGATTGTTTTAATGGAAATGTCTTGAGATGCTTTCAACATTAAGTCATGATTTTTTTTCTTCTTACAGTTGTAACCCCAGACAGTGGTGTGGATGTGGAGTCTCCCTCCAGCCAGAAGAACAGCAGGAAGTCCAGTCGCTCCAAGAGCTTCAGTGATGATGAGGAGGAGGAGGAGGGGAGGAAGGGGAGTACCTCCAAGCCTTCGGAGATTCCTCAACAGCTCTTGTCTGTCAAGGAAAGAATGGCCATGTAAGTAACTCAACTTAAATGAATGGAGATATGACGATGAAAAGGATGTATGTGTAGATGGATGGATGGATGGATGAATGAAATCAGAATGAATGAATGGAGGGAGGGAGGAAGAGGACCAAGCCTTCTGATACTGAAATGATAGAATGAAATGAGGGAAGGAAGGAATAAAAAAAATGAATGAAACTCTTGGAATCGATTGTTGCTCCTAAGATGATGTTGCTTGCTAGTCAGCTTACACAGTAACTTGTGACCATCTATGTTTATATTCCATCTCTCCTGCCATTTTGTGTTGTATTTCACAACTTAATAATGATGATTGCAGTAAATGTCTAATTCTTTCTAGCCTTGATTTTATCTTGCAACTTGATGTGTTGATTGAACCTGTTTACCCCTTGATAATTGCTGTTCTTTCTGAGTATTTATATTGCATGTAAATCAACAGTGCTTCATTGCAACACTTGCCCTCCAACTACATGTATACAACAGTAAAGTTATTTTTAACTCCTCATTTACTTTTTGTAACAAGGATGCAATGCAACATCTGATTCAATTAAGAAAAACTGCCTTGTGATTGGCCCATTGTCAATTTAAGCAATGGGCCAGTGGGCCAATCGGTTGGAGGGACAAGTCTTGATTTTTACGTGCTGTAGATCATTCTTGCAGATGTACATGAACTCACGGGTAAATTGAATTTCACTTTGCAACAGAGGAAACATTCAATATACACGTATCAATCATAATCATGTAGTTCATGTACATCTTTCTCTTCACTTGTGTTTACCTCTATAACTATTAAGTGTTGACTGTCTCCTTTGTTGTTGACTCTCCTCTGCTTTTACTGAAACTATCGTAGGTACCGCCAGTCTGCTGAACATCCAAGCTCTGAAAAGATAAAGGTCAAAAGTAACAGGTGACAAAAATATTCAACATTTGCCTGCAGTGGTGATTTGCTGTGTGTGCCTCTTAACACCCCTATTTCTGACATGGTTTGGTCCATTATCAGACAAATTCAAAGATGGAAGTGTCTGATTTTGGACCACATGACTTTCAAGAGGGGGTGGAGTACTTAATAACCTGTTAAGGGAAAGTTATAAACGTGTGGTTTTGCTGTGCTGATTTTCCAAAACGTGTGCAACTAGAGATACCCTACAAATGTAAATGTAATCTTAATTACATACTTCTGCAAATATGTACATTCTATAAGACCACTCTGGCCATTTTGATAGGCGATATTCTTTTACCTAAAGTGTTGAAGAATATAGCTTGATGTGTTTGTAGCAACAAATGTGTACTGACACAGCTTAGAATTGATATAGCTTTCTTAGTCATAACATTACCAGCTTACTTGAAACTTGCATAGAAAGTTGGAAATTTGAAAATCTTAACTTGAAACGATGTACATGAACAGTACATAAACAGCTACATTTGTATGCTTTTTAATCTTAGGCTTAATTTTAAAGGACAATTAGTTAATGTTTCCCATATAAACCCTCCTAGGACACCTATAATGCCCAAATCAGCCCAGAATGTGATGTCCAGAATGGAAAGGTGACTAATTCGGAAACTGTTCTGTTATTAGTGGTGGTCAGCTGGTTATGGGTCATCTTTAAACCAGAGAATCTAACCATCATTTCAGAAAGTCTAACTGCTTAACCAGGAAATGGTGGTGGTTTAGGCTTATGTATTTTGTACATGAAACTATATTAAAACAGGTAATATTGTAACACACTGTATGCTATTACATGTACTTAATCATACGCAGAGATGCAGAGATGTAAGAAATATTCTCAATCAGTGACCACAATCCTGACATTCTGTGTGTGCTGTGCAGAATTTAAACTCTTTCTTACTCTTCCCTACCTTGGAATCATGACTGTGGTGCAGTGCATGTACACATAGGGGTTATGGTTAGACTAAGCTAAGATTTACACATTTTACTAACCTCCCAAACAACATACAATGTACACGAAATAAGATTTCCAATCTGCCTGTAGGTACTTGTTACTTAAGATTAAGTTTAACGATTGTTGACATCTAACAATTGTTGACAAATTATACAATATAGATTCAATTTTGGTATACATGTACATTGTCAAGATTAATTCTACATAGCAGAACATCAGTTAGAAAAAAAATTTCTGTGTTTTTTCCTTCAGGTATCAGAGTGAGATCAGTTCCACCGGGGAAGCCCGTAAATCGACCAGCGGTGACGACAGGAAAACTGTCGCCATGGGAACCCTGGCGGACCTCCGCAAGCGCTGGGAGAGCGGTGACCTGCTGACGTACCAGGAGAAGGAGTCGACCTCGGGGACGACCACCGGGGATGAGATGGAGGACACGGTGGTGAAGAGCACCTCCCACTCCCACAGAGCCATCATCAGGCAGGAGGAGACCATCGTGGCCCAGGAGATCAAAGCTGCCAGGAGCAAGTTCGAAAGCTTCAATGATGACAACAACCAGAAGCCTCGACGGATGAAGACCTCGTCTTCCGACCACGACATGAACGGCGTTGTCAACAACGGCAGGTCTTCGCCGTACCGGGACGAACAATTTGGACAGTCGAATTACGAAAGCGGGCGGCGCAGCTCCACTGGAGACGTGGAGGTCGTGAAGTCTACCACGCCGACTGCAGATGACCGGGAACTGGTCAAAGCCGGCACCGCCTCCAACCTCAAGAAGAGGTGGGAGAGTGGCGACCTTCAAGATTATAGAGAGCGGTCCGGTTCTTCCTCTTCATCAAGCAGTGAGTCCACCCATGATGCAGAAGAGGAACCTGTAATCATCGTGGCCTCACGGTCTGCCGAGGAAACAAAATCAGCCGCCCCGAAACTTCAACCAACACAAAAGGAGGTGCCCCAGCCGGAGCGCAGAGAGATGAGGAAGTCAGAGAGCCTCAAGAAGCGGTACGAAGAAAAGTTGGAGAAGAAAGAAGCAAAGGATGAAGAGAGAGAGGAAGCCCCTCGCAGAGCTCTGAATAGGGCACCCAGCTTTTCCAGGACAATGGCGGCCAAGTTTGAGAAGGGCGCAGTCCGAAGTCGCAGTAGCTCCAGCAGCTCGAGTTCCCAGGAACAGGATCCAGACGCAGAGATTGTCCGCGCGACTTCCCACCATCACAAGGAGAAACCTGATAAGGTCAGTTTTACATATGACTTTCTTCTTCGTTTTTTTAACATGTCAGGCTTAACATTCAGAATACAAAGGCTGATATCTGTTGTAAGTGTAGAATACTTGTACTCTGTATCACCGGAGGTACCAGCCAGACTGAGTGATGGGTCTGATCATCTAAAGGCCAGAGGGAGATACCACCAGTGGGAGGGCTGGGACTGAGGGTGATGCGGAATACATCGTATTTTAGCTACATCATGCCCACCCGAGAAAACACACATTTCAATGTGAAATGTGCCAAAATTTGGTGTCCCTAAGCAAGAAATTGTAACAAAATGGACTCCAGTGTTCAAATCTGGTATTCAAATTTTCAAAACCAGTAGCCTCGGCACATGCATCACATGGTCAGATGCAATATTCATTATGTTACATGTACCCGGTATATTAAACTTTCATGAACATTTTCTAACAGCCTACACATTAGGCATACCTACTATATTCTGTATCAAGTAGTTCTGTCATAGGATCTCATATAATGAGGCTTTATTCTCAACATCTTGTAGGCTGACACCCCAGACAACCAAGGTAGTTCAGATGTGGACGAAGAGGTGAAAATATTTGTTAGTCGATGCTAAGGTGTTGGCCTTCTTTGGTGGCAAATTCGAAAGACTTATCCTTATACATTGTACATGTAGGGGATTGCACTTAGATCATCAGTGTGTGAAATGCTTTAATTTTTAAAACTTAGGTTAGTTAACTTATCCTTTCAGGGCTTAGTAGTAGTAGTAGTAGATCCCATAACCATTGAAAATCACCTGCAACAGACAAATTTTCCCTGAACCACTGATACATGTACATGATGTGTACATGTGCAATGTAATTTAGGAAGTGTGGGTAACACTAAAAATTGTGTTCAGAAAAAGTTCAATGTTCAGAAACCATTGCCATTACTTCTTTTATTCTTCATACAAATGTTGGAGGTAACAGTCAATGCAGGAAATAAAAATCCACATACATGTACACCTACATTTGTACATGTACATGTAATGTCATAACTTCATACATATGGGACAATATAACATTTTTATAATAAGACAGTTTTACACAATACTGTTTTGATGTAAAAAAAAAAGCCCTTGAGACCAAGCAATCTATAATAATTATGATATGGATGACATCCTCTGGTGAGCTAAAATCTTAGGAAAGGGTGATTTTATTACATGTATACTCACCTCACAACAGTTATAGCTGTGTCCTATTTTCTCGTTTTGTGGTAGGTTTACGAGGGCCTCACAACAACTTCCCAGTTTGCAGAAACTTCTCCTGGGAGCCCGACATTGTCGGATATTGCTGCCCAACTGTCAAAAGGAGCGATATTCCCTTTCTTCTTAAACAGCCCCAAACCAAAACACGTGAGGGTGTCATCCACAAAATCTAGTTGGTGGGCCAGAATAAAAAAAAAACTGATCTGTAGTTTTCCTCCTCAGTGGGCAAGCTTGACTTAGAAGTGGTTTTTCAAAAGTAGATGCATCATGGGCAGTTAACAGCACCTAACCTAAGTACAGTGTATTGGTATTTCACATGGTATTTCACACACATACATGTACAATAATACATGTAACAATCCTTAGGGTTTCTAGAGGTGGCATTTTAGCAATGGTTTGGAACGTCTTTGCTTCAAACTGTCTGTTTGGAAGTGAGTTGTGGTGACAGGAGCAGGGTGATTTGGGAATGTGGTGTTGGGAAGACAGAGACACTGTGCGTCCTTAAATTTGTACTTGTAAAAATGCCCATTTTTCACCATTGTTACAAGTTGTGGACAGGCAGTTGTGCAAGAAATTATGGGACATTTGTAGTGAATGTTTGTCACATGATGCAAGATGGTGGTGTGCAGATACATTACAAAATGTGTATGATATTACCGCTGTTTTTGATGTAAGGTCTACATGTACATGTAGGAAAAAATGTTGTGTTTCCTGTTTCAGTCCTGAGAGAAATTAGGGTCGGTAGGTAGGGATTCTCTTTTGTCTAAATCTAAATCTAGACTTTGCAGGGATCCACCAAAGAAAAGGCCAGAGTTGGCAGTTTTTTCTAGGATTGGTCAGGAAACAGAAAACACAACATTTTTTCCCCAGGCCTAATATAGTTACTATTATACAATATGACTGAGTGAATGTCTCTGTTTGTTACAGGTTGTGAACCTGGGTCTGTCAGCCCGTCTGAGGTCCATGTTTGAGAAGGGAGATGTCCACAATGTTGAGGCTCCTGCCAGGAAGAGTCCTGTGGCTATCCCACGCAGTACCAGCACTCCAGATATCTCCAAGGCAGGGAGGTGAGAACAAGGAACAGTTACACAACTGTATCTCAGTCCACCTAAGTTTACCACATTGGCTGTTAGACCACACTTCATTTTCTGGATGACATACGCTGAAGACCCCCAAACTAGTGGGCACAGGCAAATAGAAAAAAAAAATTCCAGCCCAAAAAATGCTTCTAAACCAGAAGAATGCAAAGCTGATATTGTGAATTTGCAGTAGTTCATACAATGTTGCAGTTAGTTCATACAATGTACCTCAGGCCCATATCCATACAGAAACATTTAAAACAGCGTAACCAAATTTCACCATTTTCCATCAGGAGGGACAGCACCAGTAGCAGCAGTAGTGAGGAGGGTGAGGCCCATGCTGTCAAAACAAGCTTCAGTGATGACGAAGTGGAACATCGCAAGGCTGACATTAAAGGTAAGCAAACAAACAAACATACAGGACATTACATACAATGTACAAATTGTAAGTTGTTTGACAGAACACCTCAGATAACATTCTGTCTCTCCTTGTTCCATGTACATGTAGGTCCCTCTGCCAAGTCCCTGAGAGCCATGTTTGAAACCAACAAAACGGAGGACTCAGGACCTACTACACTTCCTAAGGCCAAACCAAAGGTATGTCTCAATCTCACAGGAATCTGTACATAAATTTTAAACATTGTACAGTTCTTATTGGCAAATGTGCAGGTCTTGGCACATTGGCAACACCAAATCTGTCTGTGTCCTCATCAGTGTTTGGACATAGTATCAACGATTAGCCTAAATGTCCAGTAGGCGTCACTCTGCCATACAACGACGAAAGCCTTTCCCAAGGGCACAACATTGGGCATACCAGGGAATCAAACCCGGGACATCTTAGTTTCAGGCAGAACACACGGACCATTATGCCATGCGATGCCACATGCATACGTTTATTGTTTGCTTGTTTGAACCTTTGTTAATTCAAGAGGTATTGGCCTGCTGGCTACTTTCATTGAAGTCCAATATACATCCAAATAGAGTCTGAAATACACAGTGAAAATTTTGCAGTTGACATACCCTATGCAGTCTTATCCATTTCTCAATGTATGACTGACTGTACTTTTTACATTTCTCATGAACGTGATGAACGTTGTATCTAAAGGTTTTTTTACCTCCTGTATCCAGAGCATTTCCCTGTTTAAGACTCCGCCCATGGAGAAGTGCAGGGCCTGTGGGAAGACAGTCTACGCCATGGAGAAGATTGCCACCGACCACGACACCTTCCACAAGAGCTGCTTCAAGTGTGACTACTGCAAGAAAGTACTCAGGTACAGAGAAAAGGCCACACAAACTCTGCAGTGACATTGCTGCAGACTCCAAACCTAAGAAAACAGTTATCTTGTTTCAAAATTGGCTGTGCACATGTTATGAGTTTCTTTCCATTTGTTTTCGAATTCTAAATTTTGTAGCTGACCTACTTAACTCCTACAAAATGTACAGCTGTCTGTGTCAATGTTGAAAGGTGGTGGATGCTACCTGAAACATCTGACCATTTTCAAAATCTATCTAGTTGCTTGAGATTTTGAGTAACTGTTATCTTGGCATCTTATTACTTGGATGTGTAACCTCAATGTGCGGACCATCTCATTGATTCATATCGCTAAAAAAACAGTTTGGGAAATTATTGCTTTGTATTCAGAGTATTGAAGACTGTTACTGTCTATTATTTTTAAAATGTGGTCTGCAGAAATAGTTTAACATAATTCTCTCCCCCTGCAGTTTGGGCACTTTTGCTGGCATCCACGACAAGCTGTACTGCAAGCCCCACTTCAAGCAGCTCTTCCAGGCAAAGGGAAACTATGACGAGGGCTTTGGCCACTTGCAGCGTAAGTCCAAGTGGGCTCCCAAATCTGACGGCCCCGCGGAAGACACCCACGAAAGGCGTCAGATCGAGGAGGCTGAGGAAGTGAAGCGGCCTGTTCCGACAAGACGTCCCAGAAGCGCCGATCTTGAAGATTTTGACGACAAGCCTCCTGTGGAAGACGACCAGGATGACGAGGAATTTGAGGTGAGGCGTCCCGTTCCCGCAAAGCGACAGAGCCTCCCAAAAAGTGTGAGCTCCTCAGAAGACGAGGAGGAAAAGGAGGCGGTGGCTAGAAGAAGCAGGTCTTCATCTTCAAGCAGTGACGAGGGGCCTAAACGCCGCAGCCACTCCGCGAGCAGCGGGGAGGGGTCCAAACACCGCAGCCACTCCGCAAGTAGCGGGGAAGGCAGGCAAGGCCGTAGCCACTCCGCAAGCAGCGAGGAGAGACGCACAAAGAGACGGTCCGGTTCCTCGTCGAGCATGGACGAAGAAGAGAGGCGGCAGCGCGAGCTTTCACTGAAGATGGGCAGCGCGGAGGAGGAGATTAAACGGGCTCGACTCTACCGCCAGAAACTTCTACGGGAGGACTCGCAAGATGAGGAGGACTGTTAAGTCAACTTTGTTGTCAACATCTTAAAATTGTTTGGCCTACTTAGACCTTTGAGTGCACAAGTCCAAGTGTAATTGTAGGATGTCCATGCTGTTGCTTTGCTATACAATTTAGGTTATACATGTATTTACCATCCCTTTAAAACTCCTGTACTGTCCTCTCATCTTTACCATGTCACATCATACTAACCTGGCACAGAAGGAGGCAAATCATTCAAAAATGTGTGCATGAATATTTTGTCTGTTAAAAGGTAACAATGTTTTACCAGTGCCAGCTACAGTGTGTATCACTACTACCTAATGTGCCATAAACAGAATATTACCATTTCTATGACTAAAGACTACTGCGGGTGACTCAAAGTGTATATCTAGTGTATTGAAAATGTCATTATCTGGTTTCTTGTCTACAACATGCTTTTCCTCTGGCTTTGACTGTTTGAGTAGCAGTGCCACCTTGCAGATTTGTACAGTATTACGGTTAACAGCACTTGTTAGAAGAAACTAATTAATGGCATGGAAGTGCTGCTATGTGTTGTTAATGATTGCTGGAATGGAGGATGAAAATGCAGTGGAAATGTTTCACATCAGAATCAAACAGTAGCAAACTTTGTGCAATGGGTAACATTTTCAATACATTGCCAAAGAAATGGTGTACATTTACATGTACCTTTGGGGTTGGGACAAGTAGGGTTTTGTAAGATCTGCACGACTGTAGAAAAGTGCCCCCAATGATGCAATAAGCTGGCCAATGTAAAATGCACTTCGATTATGTACAGGTCTTAATTCAGAAGGTGTAGAATTGGCAAGAACAGGAGGCACAGCTTTGTATTGATGACAGGTTACAGTTACTGTAACTAATTTAACATTTTGTCTAATTGTAGTACTAAAGACTGAATACATGTATTACTCAAGAAGAAATAATATTTCAAGAGTAGCTTTTTTTGGTGTACGATATGCAGGGAATGTTTAGCCTAACCAATAGTCATAGTTTACACAGATTTAAAAAAAAAAAACTTGTAACAGACTTAATAAGCACTATATACCACATAGATCTTTAAATCCTCTCAAGCTGGGCTTGATAACCTTTTGGACTTGCCAGCAAATGTGTTTTGAAGCTCTGATTGGCTACAGATGGGCCAATCATGTGGCACCAATTACCATAACTTTCATACATTCGAATCACTGATTGGCTAGAGATGGACCAATCATGTGTCCCCAATTACCATAACTTTTATACATTCAAATGAGCACGCAAGTATGAAAACATTCCAACATATTTCTTCACTAACCATGGACTAAAGCTTAATTGTTGTTTCCATATTACATAATGAAACCTTGCCACATATATGTAACCACATGAGTGTTATTGTACACATCTAATATCGGATTGGTCTTGGGAATTATGTATAAAAAAACTTGTCCTAACATTATGGATTTCTAATTTGCCTTGGGTTGCTTGGCTTTTTTTTACGTTATTCATGTTATTCCAAAAAAGGGATTCCTGGTGATGATTTTTTTGTGAAATCAAACATTCCTATGATAAATCAAACTCTACTTACCAAATCTCTACTTACCAAATTTCTACTTAACAAGATAAAAATTTAACTACAGACAATTACTGCATACATTTTGAATTATATTTTTTGCACGCTTTTGCAGACATGCTTGATAAGAAGTGATTTAAATACTATTACATACAGGACATTCCAACTAGTAGTTCACGTTTTATGCTAATCACCTTGCTTTGCTAAATGTTGCATTAATATATCTAAAAATATGTAAAATTTTGCATCTTGATGTAACTAGATTGCTACATATCGGAAGTTATCATGCTTAGATTGGTATCTTTACACAAGTTAATAAATAAAGGTAAGTAATAAAGATAAATAAAAGTTTCCAAAGAATTGAGGTGATTAAACTTCACAGTTCAAGATATCAGCTTTACATTGTACAAAACTAGCAGAATGTACTGAGCGTTTTATTCCAATTTTGTAAAGCGTATTAAGGTTCATGGAATAAAGAAAATGATTTTCATGTATTGTTCTCAATGTGTGTTCTTGACATCAGATAATGCAGTTAGACCTTTTGAATCGATATTATGTAAGATTTTTCACTATTTTAAACATCGTTGTTTTACACATTTTTGTGCACTATAAGCCTACCTGGGTTTATAGTGACATTTGGGTAGTAAAAGAGCAACGTCGTTGCGCCGCAAAAACTTTTTGAAGCTGCCGAAGATACCCGAACGAAAACTGCTGTTTGTTCTACATTCTTTTTAGGAGCCTCCTAAAAATAAAACGGGCCTGGCGGAACTTATTCTCGCACTGCGCTGAGTCGCTGGAAAAGCGAAATAGCGACGCTATTATGCGGAAAAGTTATTGTTGTTTCCAGTTTTGGCACAAAAAATCTTACATAATATCACTTTAAAAGCTTTGTGATCAGTTTGAGCATCATTCGTCTGCAGTTCACATACGTTCAGGCAGGTGCTGCTTTTTCATATGGTTCCTTACTATATTGTAGCATCACTGACTTGCAAGGTAGGTACAACTTTTTATCACCGATTATTACATTGGGTCCAATTCTAAGAAAGCATTGAGCCTAGTCTCCATATTGTATGCTGCACTACAATGTATGTACAAGGTAGGCATAAGTAAGACTTGTCACTGAAAAATACATGTGATTAGATTAGATTGCAATTTTCAATTGTTTAAAACGGGCATTACGTACATGATCTGCAGGAATTGATTTATATTGCAGGTAATTATATATGATATCTTACCCATGGCCCTGTTTTTCTTGCGTTGCGTATGCGCGTTTCAGACTCAACATAAAAAATTGCATATGTTATGTACTATATACAGTGAATATTCTTCAAATCTGTTCTTTAACTTTATTAAAAACATCTCATGATCAGGGTTTTATTTCGACTCTGAATAACCTTTCTATTTTCCTTATTTGAAGTTTATACAACTCTTGTTCTTTATCTCCATTCGAATTTCTTTGGAATTATGTTTGATATTTGTAATTTACAGACGAAACATAATGTTGATGTGTTTGTTTAGCGACCAGTAAATCAAAATGGCCGACAAGCCAGCCGCACCCGAGGCACCGCCTCCACAGGTGAGTAGTAGAGATGGCGCTCTATGAATAATTTCATCAGGGGGGTGTATGATTGAATGTCAAAGTTCTTTATTATATCACAGCCACTTGTTTGTCAAGAGTTTTGTATCGTCAACAACCATTGCCATGCATGTGATTTAGTTGATAATTCTTTATTAATTTATTCTCTTCTTAATTTAAGACAGGAAAGAGATTTCCCTCGTTGTTTCTTTCAACATTTAGTCACAAACCGTTTTCCAGTTGTGCTTGTACTTCACATGTAAAGTGTGTAAGGTACTGGTCCGTCTGTCTGTCTTACATTATCCTCTTGCAAATCCATCCAAAAGTGATGCATAACCATCAAAACCCAATCCTAGTCCTCCCTGAGTCTTACCTTGGAACCCACTATACCCTTCTAGAATGTTAGCTATTGACTGTAGAATTCAAATCAAGGCACCCTCTCAAAACTTGGAAGTCGAAACAGTGTATCACTATAACAAACGTCATCCTTAGTTGTCGAACTAGCTCAGCCGAACCTTCCCCAACAGTTGAAAGCTTCGAAAAATAACCTTTGAGTCTGTCTTTCCCCGTTCACACAGCTACCTTTCTCACCAAATCAACCGCAGCAATGAGTAAAAACTATGACTACTCAATATTCACCAACACTACGGGAGACGACAGATGATTCTTTTCTTTCTGTTAAGGAGGCGGAGCCGTCTCAAAACCCTGCACCCGTGAGCGGCGCTCCAGGTGAAACAGAGCCTATCTCTCCACCACCACCGGCCGCCGATGTTGCCCCAGAGGCGGTTGAAACGCCAACGGGTAAAGAGGATACTTCTGCCGCTGTGTCAGAACCTCCCAAGGAAATATCTACTACAACCGAAACCGCAGCTGAAGCGACGGAATCACCAACAGCTGAACCTATAGTTGCTGAACAGCCTCCGCCTCCAGTTGTTGAAGAAGTTGCAGTTGCTGAGGTGAAACCCGCGTCTTCGGAAGCTGCACCTGAAACAACAGTTTCAGAGGAAAGCCCTGCACCAGTTTTGGAGCCAGCAGTTGACGAAGCGGCAGCTGCTGGAATCACACCTCCATCTCAGGACTCTGCACAAGTTGCTGAACCTTCACCCGAGGGTTCAGTACAGAAAGCTGAGGCACCAGTGGTTGATGAGGCTGTGGTCGCTGAGGTGACGCCACCAGAAGCTGCACCGCAAGCGGAGGAAGCACCGACTGCTCCAGCGGTCGAAGAAACACCATCAGCCGCACCAGAAGCCCCCAAAGAGCCGGCCAAACCTCTTGCGGAAGCAACGGGGAGTTCTGCAACAATAAAGATGGAGGTCACGGCGAGCGAGGTTGCTCCCGCGGTTCAAGACGTCGCCGAGGAACCAGTACCGGTGGTGTCTTGGAGCGTTGCTGATGTCATGGTAGCGGCGGGCGAGGTGACTGCAGAAGTTGCAGTACCGAAAGCCCAAGCAACCCCGGCGCCCCCACCGTCCCCTACACCTGACGTGCCCTCGGTGAAGCCGGAAGTCAAAGCCGCACCCCCTACAGAGTTGCCCAAAGTCGCACCCCCTACAGAGAAGCCCAAAGTCGCACCCCTTACAGAGAAGCCCAAAGTCGCACCCCTTACAGAGAAGCCCAAAGTCAAAGCCGCACCCCTTACAGAGAAGCCCAAAGTCAAAGCCGCACCCCTTCCAGCGCCTACAGAGAAATCCAAACCCAAAGTCGCACCCCCTCCAGCAAAGAAGGAGATACCTAAACCCAAAGTCGCACCCCCTCCAGCAAAGAAGGAGATACCTAAACCCAAAGTCGCACCCCCTCCAGCAAAGAAGGAGATACCTAAACCCAAAGTCGCACCCCCTCCAGCAAAGAAGGAGAAAGCAAAACCTCCTCCGGCGAAACTTCGTCCTCCTGTCCAAGTAACAGAGGAGACGAAAACAGTGACTTTTGCACCGGGACCACCCGAGGTCATTTCCGAAACTTTTATTGATTTGCCTGATCCCATCTTTGTAAAGCCCGAGGTCGTGCAGGTGTGTGCTTCGCGCCGTACTACTCCGACCTGCTACGCCGTGATCGTATGGTGGTAATGCCCGTTTAACACGACACAACCATACCACATCTTCCCACTGGTGTTTGAATAAGCTGTTTCGAATAAGCAGTTTTTTTAAAAATGATGTACCGTTACGTGGGGTGTGGCGTAACGGTAGAATGTTCGACTCGGAACCAAGAGGTCCCGGGTTCGAACCCTGCCATGCCACCTTCCCGTTGGCATAGAATAAGCTCTCTCAAATAGGCAGGTCTTAAAAAATGATATACCATATGCAAAAGACAACATATCAGTGGATACACTTATACTATGAAAAAAAACGGAATAAAACGAAATAAATTTTCTCAGGGTTGTGTACATCAACCAAAATGATTCATTTAGTCAGCATTATCACCAGTACGTCTCGGTGTAGCACGTTGCAGGCTCAATGCAGACTAACGCCAATATGGAGAAGTAACCCGGCGGTATATCAGCCATCTGAACACGCGCGCGCATGAAGGCGAGAACAAGCATGACTCTGAGTCCAATAGGCCTGCCAGCAGTTAACTACTAACTGAAGGAAAGAAAACTGACGAAGAAGAAAAGTCGGCCACAAATTTAACACCCTTTGTCAGTGTTTAAAAACACATCCATCCCTTCGTGATACTCTACTAAAGTCTGAAGCTCCATCTTTGTGACTATTACTTTAGATTTCCGAACAGTTGACGAAGCCGATCGTCGAGATTGGAATAGTGTCCACGACGAAGACTCTGTTCATCCCGATGTCGCACATAGGACTGGTGACCTCGAAGACTGAGACCATCAAAGCTGAGAACGATCCCTTAAAAATGATCCCTTCTTAATCTTTGCGATGCAAGTAAACCCAATCTACCCTTGACTAATCGTTGGCTGAAGATCGTGCTTCTAACCCCAGCTGCAGAGGCCCGACCACAATCCTAGCCGAACTCCTTCACACCACCCTACCCTCAGGTCAACCTACTGCCCTCCTTATCACCACTTTACGAAATACGTCGAAGTTCTGGATACTATAGTTTAACTTTCCGGTCGTCTTTCGTTTTTCCACCGCGGTCACATTCGTCGTAGGACGTCGTACGATTTTGATATCGTAGTATTGTTGTACGACTTTGATGTCGTAGAATTGTCGTACGACTTTGATGCCGTAGTATTGTCGTACGATTTTGATGTCGTAGAATTGTCGTACGACTTTGATGTCGTACTATTGTCGTACGATTTTGATATCGTAGTATTGTCGTACGATTTTGATATCGTAGGGTGCTTTTTTTAGCAACTGCTGTGAGAAAGCCAATCGCTGACAAGAATTTTAGACACCTTTCTCCGTTTTCTTGAATCTTATACGACAGATGCTCGACTGTTTCAAGAATGCCCTTACATCGTACGACGGACATACGACGTAGTTGACCGGGTCACTTTTTGTGTGTATTACGTTACAGGCCCATGCTACCGTGGTGTCATGCCTGTTATTTTCTTACACGTATCCGAACTTATCTTTGATATTTTTCTCATAATTTCATCAGGCTCCGGCAGAAGCCAAAGTCACCGCTATCCGCACTTCTGTGACGTCTTCCGCCTCACCGGAAGTGATGCGGAAAATCCAGAAACTTCAGGCCAAAGCTCAGCCCCAACCCCCGCCACCGGAGGTGAAGGGCGTCAGGAAAGTCACCAGGATCGTTACAGAAGAAAAGCAGCCAGAAGTAACCGAAGTTCGAAAAGTGACGAAGACAGTAAGTTTAAAACGCTTCATTCGTCGCACGAATTTCCGGTAATTGCCTTCGTCATAAGGGTATAAAATCAAAATAATTACTTTGCCAAATGCTACATAATGCAGCTTTAAATTTGTTCTCTCGCGTCTATGTCAGACTATAGAGCAACCGGAAGTGACCGAGGTGCGTAGGGTGACACGCACCGTCGTTGAGCAACCGCCGGAAGTGACCGAGGTCCGCCGGGTGACCCGTACCGTGACCGAGCAGCCGGAGGTGACCGAGGTCCGCCGCGTGACCCGTACAGTGACTGAGCAACCGGAAGTGTCCGAGGTCCGCCGTGTGACCCGCACGGTGACCGCCCAGCCGGAAGTGTCCGAGGTCCGCACGATCACGAGGACGGTGTCCGAGCAGCAGCCCCAGGTGACCCAGGTCCGGAAGGTGACCCGCACCGTGTCCTCCGGCGACCAGAAACCGGACGTGAAAACGACAACCTTCCGTACCGTCACTAAGGCAGAACCCCCAGAGGTAGGGACACCAACGATGACCTTAAATGTTGGAAAATGCTACTAGTATCTTATTTTTCGGGAAATACAATGTCTTTTGGTGCTTCAATATTGGAGAATCACAGGACTTTTCTCCGATATGGTGATGAAAGAAGCGAAAGAGGAACGAGAATACGGAGATCTCAGACCGCCATGAAAAATTTAGATCTTGCGTGATGGTGACTGTGTCGTCTTCTGATACAAGTCCTTTGGTTGAAAGTGGTTTCTTTAAATCATTTGTTTTTTTTTGTAGTTTTGTAGTAACTGCCCTTTCTGTCCAAGGTACGCAAGACAACCAAAGTCATGACAACAGTGATGAAGGGCGAGCCTGTGACTAAAACTGAGACAAAGGTCGAGAAACTGGCCGTCAAACCTGAGACCAAGGTCCGCACAATCACCAAGGTTAGTCTGCTACCGTTTTCTTTGTCATTTTCTTGTGTTCTATTTCTTTTTTTCTTCTTTTTCTTAGTATTTTCTTTGTTTCTTTCCTTTTCCTTTTTTTCTTTCTCCCTTTCTCTTGTCTTACTTACTTACTTTTGGTTTTTCTTGCCTTCTTTCCATTTGGCCCGTTACTGATCTTCTCCTAACATTTCTTTATTACTGTAATTCTTGCTTTTCTCCACCTTCTCTAGTTTCTTCCTTTCCCAACCACGAGGACTAAATGAATTCTAGGTATGTAATCTGAAGCATGTTTGGTTCCGGCCAGCACTTCCCGTCTCGTAAAGAGTCGTTGCCATTTGACACGGTAAAAACAGCATTCCGATTGCAAAAGCAAGGCAGCAAAAGATATTAGTGAAAAAAGACAAGTACATACGCTCGGATTCGAACCTGGGTCAAAAAGCCTAATTCAAAAACCCTAATCTTCTACGCCACGAAATATCACGCTGTTGACGGAACGTTCTGACTTACATCTTGTCTTACCTCCTTGGATATTTCTTTAGGTGGAACCGCCTAAAATTGTTCGCAAAGTCGAAGTGAGAGAAGCGCCCCCTACCGTGAAGACAGTGGTGCGCAAAGTAGAGACCGCCCCAGAAGTCAAGAGAACGGTCATTGAGGCACCTCCAATGGTACATATTACTTGTAGATAATATATAACTTTTAGATAAAGCAGAACATTCGTATTCCTTATTAAACTTGACAAACCTTGTGTCATTAGCTCCATATGTTCGTACATCTACAACTGCCTCAAGAAGCGAGAAGACGTTGAACCTGTAAATAGAAGTACGCATTAGTATGTATAGTTTTATTAAGATATTACAGTAATTTTTACTGTTTATTCATCACCTGTAATTCGACAGTAAGAGCATGGACGTACAATAAAGATCTTTTATTCATACATACATTTACCGTTATTTCTACCACTGCAGAAAGTTTACAAGAAGTTCACCCGGGTAGAGCCGTCGGGCCCGTCCCGTGTGAAGGTGCGCCGGACGGAGTTTGAAGCCGGGCCCGGGGACATCGAGACCCGCAAACTGAAGCACCGCATCATCACTACCACCACCACTACCACTACTGAAGGTGGGGAGACCACAGAAGATATCGGTAGGTCCTTACTCTGACACAAAGTTTTAATATCAACTAAAGAGGTAATAATTGTTTACCTTCAAATGGTCTAACGAACTACCGCTATGTTTATTCTTATACTTAAACAAATTCATATATATGGTGACCAGCCCCTCCAACTTGCCACATGATGTAAGTCAAAGCCACATGATGTCTGCTACAGGACCAGTTACCATGGTGACAGACGTCTGTTCTAGGTCATTGACATGTGTTTGAAGAAGAAGGAAAAGAAACTGAGCAAAAGAATGTGTTTTCCTTCTGCGAAGGTAAACACAGCAAAAATAGGAAATTTCATACCTCCATGAAGTATTTTGAGTTTCTGTGAACTTATTGGCACAGCCTTGACTGAATTTCAACAGGACATGACAGAAATCTTGCTGGGAGACTGGGAGCTTGTTGTGACAAGCCCTGAGTGGGTATACCCCAATAACTGTGTGAGAGGCTTCCTCCAGCCTGTAGGGATACCAATTAGCTATAGACTACTATCTTGACCTTAATGTCAATCTGTGGTTAACGTTACAAACCACCTTCCCAGTGCATCCAGATACCTACGAACTACGGACACAGCCAAAGAAATGTTATCGTCTCGAAATTTTAACGTTAGGCTGACACTCAATACCTGATTCTATTTGTAAACAGGTCCACTCTCATATTAAGACTGAATAAGACCCCCCTTAAGGACCGTCATTGTCCTCTGTCAGCCGAGCATCTCCCAAAGTTGACAACAGGAGTAAAGCCGTGTGACGGACGTTTGTTTGTTGTACATGCAAACACACGCGTTCTGCTCTTATACGGTCCGACCGAATATAGGTCGGCTCTCGATCGCACCACAAGGTCCCATTCGTCGTACAATAAGTCCACGACAGGGAACAGTCATATATGCAGATGTGTCGTCCACCAATCTTCAACTGTCTTGTAGGAGAAACTTTGTCGTCGCCTTTGTCGTTGGATGCTTTCAACATCTCACCACAACTGAATGTAATGACGTTTGTGGATATAGGCCGGTAGGACTGTTTCAGTCTTCGGTGGAAAAGTGGGTGCAGTTTGGTCGATTATTTTAAGTACTGTATATTCAGATACATGTACCTCTGTGCTCTATACTTATAATGAATGTCTATTGAAACAATGTGAACAATTTTCTGCTTAGGGAAACTGCAGAAAGTATGTGGTTTGTGCTGTTTTATAACAGAACAGTTCAATCGACTATACCTTACATTTAGGGTTTACCTGTTTCGACGCGGGATATCTCAGTTGAATACACTTTACATAAGTTCAGATAGTTTACAGTTTTTTCTGTTTTGAAACAGGGCGTCTAAGTCTTGTACGCGGTACATCACATACAGTGTGTCCCCAGTAATGCTTTGTTGTTGTTCTGCTCTGATAGAAAACTCCTGGACTAGAACAGGGCTCAGAAACATAACTATGTCTGAAGCGAAATGTGGTCAAGAATAGACAGATGATTTTTATCGATTGTCGTAATTTTACTATTAATCAGTTAAGACCCTCTAAGAGGAAACGTTGCCGAAAAAATTGCCAAAGTTGGGCGCAGCAATGACCCCATTCGATTTTTCAGGGGAGTAAAACTGATTTCCAAAACCAATTTTCTGATCTTTTTTTTAATGTAGCAGGTTTAATCAACCCTGTCCATACGGATATCTTTGAGGCAAAAGTGCGACGTCGCTGACGAAAAACGGTTGCTTGTTATTAAAGCATCGTACGTTGGCTGGTTCTAGCTATTTATTGGTGGTACCAAAAATAAGGGATTCCTCACGTAGCTTGTTTTGAGGCTATTTCAAACGCTTTAAGTATGAAATGATGGCGAAAATGTGCTAAGAACTGGCAATATCAAACAAAGTTCCTCATCCAGACTATTTTTGTTTTGTGCCCTGAAATTGCATTGGGTGCCTACCTATTGCGTAACCGTCCAGGACTCGGAGGTAGACTCAAGCTGTGACACACGTGTGGAAATCCCTGCCTGTTGAAATCGCGCCCAGGAATTTCAAACATGTACCCCAGGAGACCGAGCTACGAGCATCACTTACGTGGCCTCTTCCCGCTCCCAGGATATCCCTTTTCCTCTTGTGGACTTTTAGGGGGAGAAAACTGGCGGGATTTAATTTGTTATTCAAACCCAGTTATGCAGACAAGGCTATCTGAGGTGTTTCCGAGTGCGTGAAAATCTGTTGATAACAGAGTAATGTATACAGACATGTCAATTTCGATAAAGCAACATAACCTTACAAGCTTGGGCTTGTCAATGTCAGGAAATTATGGGTTTCCAAGGGACATTACCTCATACTGTTTATTTGTTCTTGATGCTTTCAAAACACTAGATTCCTTGGCTAGGACAGGTCCTCTGTATATTTTTCCGTCAATAGTATTCCGACATACAGTGCGTTTTTCTTGCATGAGTCATTTATGGGGGGCCTGCATGCCTTTTTTCGTAAGGCGTAATTAGGCCTTTTTAGTCCTCGTAATCCGTAGGCAGCCTCCCCAAAATCAACGTAATTAGTAATTATAGTACATTAGCCGCAAAGCATCAAGTCATAATCAGCTCTGAGGCTTTAACGTAATTCGTAATTGGCGGCGAAGATTTTGCGTAATTTGTAATCTCTACCCCCATGGAGACCCTCATTTGCACACCGTTGCCAAAGTTTGCACCAAACCATACCGTTACAATTTGAACACAAATTGGTCCCAAGATTGATAAATGACATCTTAAAGCACTCAGCAGGTGTCACGTCAGTTTGAGAGACTGTGTTATCTTAATCTGTCTGTAAATAAACCCCCTCAACCCCTCCAGTCGCTGAGAGTTGAAGTTCAGACAAGATTCAAACTTGCCGCTGACCCGAACCCTGCATACCGGTACATCACCTGTCATGACGTCACGGTCCCGCCAGATGTTGTGCCTTTTCTCGGGAGCGAAGCAGCCTTGGGGGATGACGAAAGACGATATTGTGCGTATATATAGTCCGAAGGCTCGCCTCTTCGAGCATATAGGACACAAAGGTGTTTCCAAACTCCCCTGAGATAGCCTCGCGTCGTTGGGGACAGAAAGAGAAGGACGGTCGGTGGAGGTGTGTAAAGATCTAGGCGGAGCTGGTGTCGTGAACATGGGAGAAGTTTGCCAGTCTGCGGTGGTAGTAGAAGAGAACAAAATCTTCCTCTTCGTCTCGACAAGAAGGCCGTCAATAGACCTATCTGTTCGTGAGTAACATTTTCTTACCCACGGTTCTATCGCTAGGTGAAGTGTATGTGCACTTGTTGGTATGGCGGGAACTGTGTAGCCTTGAGGGAATATGTCGTCTGACAGCGACGTCAATCATCCAATCAGTTCCGTCCTTTTACGGGCCATCATTGGCTTTCAGTATGTATGCTCGTCAAGTTCAACCGAGGTGTGCCAGAGTTTCTTTTCTTCTTTAACATCGGTAGTCGGGGCTGCAGTGAATGTACTTAGACGAACACTTTAAGTGGCGACAGGTTGAAGTATCTTCGAAGGACGTCTTATAAGAGCTACACAGGTGATATCGCAATTTTAGTGCGCTTTAAACGAAACAGGTACACTCGGGAAAGGGTGGGTCGACATGCTCTATTTCAAAGACGTGGTTTTAGCGGTAGAGTTTGTTTTGTATATTTCTCTACTCGCCTGCCCGTTGAAGCGTTTTCTCTTTGTGGGAACCGCCCGGATTTTCACCCTCTTGTGTGATGTTTTGGTACCATCCCTGTTTTCCTTGCTAAGACAAAAATAGATCACAAGCACGTGCTTGGGACAGATCTTTGTTGAACTCCATGCATGGTATCTCGTCTGCATGGTTGTCACTGTCTATCCCGTAAAATGAAGAAACTGAAAAGTCCATCAATTTACGACTATCTTAACTTGTTTCTTAAGTTACTTGTTAACGGTGCGTGTGACTTATGTCACCCCGTTCTGTCAAGGTCGCCTCCTGCCTAGCCGAAGTATTATTGTTGTTTCTCTTCGAGACACACTGTCTGTCTCTTTACAGCGCTCATATTTTCAAAACAGAGTCACTCCGACTTCACAGACATGTTTCACACAAACGTGACTGAACTTGGGTGACCTCTCTGTTTGGTTGGGTGGCGGCGAACTGTTCCTTTTATAATTTATGGGGAGTTTCTTGCACTTTTAGTTGGAGTGTTGAGCAACGTCAAACTGCAGAAAGTCTTCTACGTGTGCGTGTGCTGTCTTAAAGCAGAACAGTTCAATCGACGACACCTTACACTAGCGCTATCATGAGGTTTCTCCAGGCAGACTGGAGGTCAGAAAGCATGCTAAGCTAATGATATATTGGAGTAAGTAGGATTTCGTTAGTTTCTAATTACAGGTAAAATAGTGTAAAATCGTACAGAGTCACTCCAAAACCAGACATGTTTCACAGAAACGTGTCTGCACTCGGGTAACACCTCTGTAACGTCAGAAGGGTGAGTGGGGACTGTGTCTTTTATGGAGTGTTTCTTGCACTTTTACGTGGAGTGTTGGACAATGTCAAGTACTCCTCCCACATACTGGGTCTCTAAGGATGCCAGCCCACACTGGTGGTACCATGGAATTTCTATAGGCAGAATGGAGTGCGGAAAACGTGATGCTGAGCTGATGAGATATTGTACTGTAGTAACTAGAAATCAGCAAGTTTGTAATTAGAGGTAAAATTGCATTCATCGTGTGTAATCAACATTGACTAGCTTAATCTCAATGACGAAATTTTATCTTGAAGCCTTTCCCAATAAGTATAACTTGTGTATTCACGGCTCAAAATACCACCTCAGACAGTTTTTTTAGTATATGATCCATACTTTATAAATTATGCGCAAGATTTGTCTGGTGACGTAATTTTCCATGCATGTTTTATGCACAAAAATGTATTTCAAGCCCTGTGGTTGTTAAGCCTTGTCTGTTTGGTAATGTGGCAATGCTAGTAGTAAAAAACGTACGTTTATGTTTTCTACATCATTTATCATTTCTGACACGCTGTCGTTATGTTTCACATACAGAAACACGGACAGAAGAAAGCACCGAAGTGGACGAAGGCAAGAGGGTCGGCAAAATCACCACATACAGGTGAGAGTGGGTCAAACTTCATGGCTACAGTGGTGCATTGTAGTTACTTGACAATGTGCATGTTAACATTATCTGTATTCTCTTCTTTTGTTGTGATCTGTACTTAACCCAAAGGGTATGTGTGTACAACAAATTGTACTACATTCAACAATGTATTACATTCATTCATTCATTCATTCATTGTTAGTCTGATGGAGACTACCCCCTGTCAGTGATCACACACGTAGCAGTGCTGACGATACCCAGTGTAATTAAGTGGAAGGAACAGGTACCTCGAAGGTCTGTAACCTCCGTGGCCCGACCAGGCGCCTTCCTGACTTCTCCATACTTGAAATGCCTCTGAGCTGAAGACACCCCAGTTCTTGAGCAGACGCCAAACATGTGAAAAAGAGACGTCAAAAAGCCCAAACTGTCAGCCGTGGCAGCCCTCTGTTGGGTGGCGTTAACGTATGTGCAGCAGCTGAACCTGGCATTTCCTGTTTTGGCTCGGGAACTGCCGTTTCGGTTCAAGTCTGGATGTGCAGATTCACGAATTCCTTCAGCGTTAGGCCAGCAAGTACTTTTTAGCGGACTAATCAGGACCTGATAACTAGGCTCTTGGTCCTGGCTAGAAAACTTCATATATTTGTCTGTATCTTTGCACGAACGTATCTGATCAATCCGTTGTCTTAGAAAAAGAAATCAAACATGGCACGACATACATTGCAAGTACATTGCGTCTTCTAGCTTTTACGCGTCTTCTAGCTGTTTCAACTCTTTCTGGTGGTTGGATGTTAATTCAAACCTCGGCGAAAGTTGCCAAAACACGCGAAATTGAATCGTCCTTGAGGTCTGTAAGCCAAAGCTCGCTCTGTCATCGCGTGGTTCTGCCAACACGTCCCTTACCTACGTCAGTGACGTTCCAAGACTTGACACTGTGTGATGGGTCACTGGACGCTGCCGACAGGGAGGCTAACAGAGGGGGTTCCCAGGAACCAGATACCTGTTTTTCTCTTCCTTGTTGAGCTCCTAAAGCATTGACCAATTGACCTATAGGTAGTAATTCTTTCTACCCGTTTTGATTTTTTGATTGCTTGCTAGTTTTGTGCAGTTATACGAACCCACAAGTTTCAGCGGAAGATCATCTCGAACTATTGTAATCATCCATAGCAATGCCTTCTAGTTTGATAGTTTTATCAAAACCTGGAGTTAAACTTGCTTTTTGTCAAAAGTCACCCCGACCACTGAAGTAAGAGACTTATGTAAACTACATTGTATCAAACCTCAGAGGAGTAACAGAGTTCATAACGCCCTGACAAAGGCAGATGACAACTTGCTAAAACAATGGACCATATTTACTATTGAAGATGCCAGCTAGCACACCTCATAGCAGACTCCTAGCTGTTTGATATTGCTGTTTTTCGGACCGCGTATTGTTGTTTTCTGATAGCTGTTTTGTTGCTGCCTTTTCGTCACGTCGATATAGAACCATCGAATGTATTTCTGTACCTAGGCAGAAAGTTCCGGTAAGAAAACTCTTTCCCAGCCTCAGGAACGCGTCTCTCACTCCAGCGGCCGGGGTGAGGAGACCTTCCTGCGCGCAGGATGTTTGCGGGACCTCGGCACGTCAGGAATTCCACACAAACTGTCGATCGACCAGGTCTTATTTGGCGCTTGGCGGGAGAATTCGCTTCCTGCTACATACAGCAGCACCTTGGCGATCTGCTTTGCGTTTCCGAGCGGCCTAGTGTCTGTTTCCTGCCAATCTAACGTCATGTCTCCGTAGCCTGGGCGCCAGACTGCTGCTAGGGCAGTATACAGGCTAGCTCCTCCTCTCCAGGGCCAACTTGTCCCCAAGGAAATCTTACCACCTCAGTCTTTTACCATACAGTCATCTTGTGCCCTTGGGAAAGGCACTTTACACGACTTTCCTCACTTAACTCAAGTGAAAATGAGTATTGTCCTGTTCCGTATTTGTCCTCTGCGTTGGTGACGGTATAAAATAAGTTGATATACTAGTAACTTGAGTGTGCCGTCACCATGTCCAGTCATGAAATGTCGGAATAAAAAAAAATACAGTCATCTCAGTTAGACCCCACAGTGGTTGGACCCTGTGCCAGTGGGTTGTAATGTTTATATAACGTGTTTTCACATGTAAACAACAGATCTTACCCGCATCTTAAAGGCTTACCATCCGCACAAGGAAGCGATTGTTGATTCTCAAGACGGTGGTTTCAAAATGACATCTTGCTAATCCTAGCTATCACTATGATGGTAGAAAATATCGCATCGCGCGTAAACTTAGTAGGCTGGTACACTGACAAGTTATGTGCTTTCTATTTTTTTATAAATCTTTAAATCCCCTAGCTGTCACAGATTCGGGACCTTCCTCCGACCAGGCCAACCAAGATCGGCTGAAGTTCGGGAACAGTCTGACCAGATTTAGGCCACGCCTACCTTTCTATACGAATCGAATTGAATTTGAGTCAAATTTGAGTCAAATTTCACTGCCAACCATGTCCCGACCAACTTCCGAACACCAGCCAACCATGGGCGAACCTCCCGGGATCCCGTCAACACCCGAATGTTTAATTTGAGCATGTTGAAACATTCGGCTGCGCACAAAAGCCGACCTGGCCGAATACCAGTCAACCACAGCTGACCTTGCTCCCGACCTACTCCTAACTATGGTTTGTGGGTTCGGCTAATGTTTGACTATGCGAGATGTAATAAATGGAGAAGGCGATATCACCATCGCAGACAACGGCTAGTATTTGCCAGATTTTTTGGTAAATGATTTATTTTGCTACGGGAGTCAGAAAGTAAGGCCCCCCTGCAAATTTCTGACGTGTCTTTATTCCCAAAGATAAAACAAATGTCATGTATTTTATACATGTCACTTACACCACAACTGTCAACCATGCAGACTTGAGGGCGAGCACCCCGTGCGGCGCGGAGAGGAACTGCAGAGGGACGAGGCTACGCTCAGGGAGGTGCGGCTGAACCGCCTGCGCGCTCGGTTCGAGGCCGGGGAACAGCTGACGGACGAGGAGAAGATCTCCATGCAGAGGATGATTGAGGAGGAGAGGACGTCCATGCCTGGACCCGGGGTATCATGGGAACTACGTCATAAGTACGTCACGTCTTATCATAACACAAAAGAACATGTGTTGGTATATGACATTAACTAACACTTTTCCCAACACTGGAAGGTATTGTACTTAAATAGACAATTTGCTTGCACAATTTGCTGATTGCTGTGGTCAGTTGTCCTTAAGGTCACCTGATTGAAGTAGTTGGTCATTCATCCTGATGGAGGCCACAGTGACCACCGAAATTTAGTCCAATTCCTTTGTCTTCCTTGTTAGAACAAAAACTACGTCACTTATAACCCGTAAGCTTTTCTTCGTGTTGACATTTTGTCCACAGTTATCTACTATCGTTTTATAGCCGAATCTCCAGCCTTTGTCTGGATAAATGACCCACTACTTTGAGCGCATGTCTTTTACGGGCTGGCGACCCCAATAGTGGGTCACAGGCGTCTGGAAGCCTGTGTTAACCACCCTTCTCCCCCTCCAGGTTTGAGAAGGGCGATGTCAGGAACGCGGAGCTGAACATCCAGCGGGAAGTTGCCACCGAGGTGGTGAAGGACAGCTACGGTCAGCTCATCCCCAAGTTCGACCGTGGAGAGGTCCATACCGCTGAACCTACATACCAAGGCAAGGCACAGAAAATCTTTTGTGGGGGACATTCGCACAAACATTGAATTTTCACAGCAAAACTTGGCGATAGTTAACTGTGATCATGGGGGCGCTTTGCAGCTGAACACACTGCCTCCCTACATTTCTCTCTGTTGATAATAGTTAAGATAGGCTATATAGTTTTGTAGCTATTATCTTTTGGCATTCTTCCATCTCGAAAGATGGAGATAGCACTCTGCTGTTGTAGTAGACACTGCAGGTTTGAAATTTGAAACAGAATCAAAGATCACTTTCTTAGCGTATTCTTCATTTGTCGTTAGCAGGCTTTCCAGCTGTGGCGTAACGTTTTTCCTAAACTGTCTTTGTTACCTTTTCCAAACGGAGCAGGCGAGAAGCCAGAAGACGTACCGAAAGGCGTTTCTACCGTCTTCAAGAGGAAGTTTGAGAAGGGAAACGTGCAGAACGCCGAGTTGTTGGACTTCTCCGAGGAGGCTGTGGTCGCCATGGGCGCCGCAAAGGGACTGAAGGGCCCATTCGAAATGAACGCCGACATGGTCCACAACGCCGAGTTCAACATTCAAAAAGAACAGTGTCCGCTCTACGACAGGTTGGCACCTTTTACTTTGTTACGTTTCTATAGCTATGTGGTTACTTTCATCACTGTAGTTCCTTCAGTGCCTAGTACTGCTTTTCAATGAGTTAAAACACGTATAATCCAGACAAGTTACATACCTAGTTCTATTGGTATAACAGTACTTGTTTCTCGACTTTGCAGGTACGTGCCCGAAAAAAAGAAGTTCGAAAAGGGCGACGTATCAAACCTAGAATTCGACAAGAAACCAAAGATCGAGTTAGCCAAAGAAATCAAGTACATCAAGTTTGAAAGGAAGAAGGCGGAACCTGTGGAACAAGAAGTTGGGACCGTCTTCACCAAGGACGTGCCTCCACCGGAAGTAAAGGTCGTCAAGGAAACCATGAAGAAGAAGTTTGTCGTCGGCGATGTCCACAATGCAGAGTTCGAAGAACTGCAGAAGCAGTATCGCCAAGAAACAGTGGGTGAACTACAAGAGGTACAGCTAGAGCGCAAACAAGCCGAGAAAGTCGAACAAGTCGTCGGCACCATCTTCTACAAGGACCAGCCGTACGAAGTTTGCCAGGATGTGGCAGGTCAGATGCGACTGATGTTCAGAGGCGAGGTCCACAACGTCGAAGCTGACGACCGCCCAATACTGGAGAGAACTGAGGAGCTAGAACAGGTGAAGGAGGCCGTGCAGTCCGCAGAGCGGGTTGAGCAGGTGGTCGGCACGCTTGTCTACAAGGACAAGCCGTACGAAATCTGCAAAGATCTCGCTGGTGGCATGAGACTACGCTTCTCGGAAGGAAACGTCTCGAACGCGGAGTTCGACTACAGAACCGTCATAGCAACGCAGGAGGAGATCGAACGCATGCGCGTCGAACGGCTCTCCCAAGAGCAAGTCGACCAATCAGATGTCGGCACTCGTTACGACAGAGATATCCCTCCGCCCACAGTAGGAGTGGTGAAGGCCCACATGGCTGAGAAGTTCAAGCGCGGAGATGTACACAATGCCGAGTTTGACCAAGCTGAGAAAGAGCGGACGGTGGGTGAACTCAAGTTCGTCCAAGAAGAGCGGGCCAAGGCCGAGCCGGTAGAGCAAGTCGTCGGCACCATCTACTACAAGGAGGAGCCTTACGAAGTCTGCCAAGACGTCAACACGGGCACCATGCGCCTGCGATTCCTTCAAGGCAAAGCCTGGAATGCCGAGCTGCGTGAAGTTGGAAAATTGGAGCTTGCAGAGGAAATTGAGTTGGTGAAGTCATTGAGACGCCCGACTGGAAAGCTCTTCATAGAACAGGCAGTTGGAACCGTGTATTTCAAAGATCATCCCTACGAAATCTGCAAGGACACGGCGGGAAATCTTCGTCTTCGCTTCCAGAAGGGAGACGTCCACAACGCCGAGCTGGACGAGACGTCCCGTATAGAGTCCATCGAAGAGATAGAACAGGTGAAACGGGACAGAGCAGGTGCCCAGCCCGTCGAGCAGGTAGTCGGTACGATCTACATCAAGGAGATCCCCTACAACGTCTGCAAGGATGTCACCGGAAGCATGCGGCTCAAATTCCGTGAAGGCGATGTACACAACGTGGAAGTTGACGAACGCACGCAATTAGAAAGGATTGAGGAGCTGTCCACAGTCAAAGAAGCCCGTGCTAAAACAGTCACGGAGGAACAGATTGTCGGCACAATCTACTACAAGGACCAACCCTACGAGATCTGTCGTGACGCCGCTGGACAGATGCGGCTTAGATTTCAAAAAGGGGATGTCCATAATGCTGAATTTGACCTACGATCAAAGCTTGAAACTGTTGAAGAAATTGAGCGAGTGAAAGAGGCGGTGCAGAGCGCCGAGAGGGTTGAGCAAGTCGTCGGAACGATCTATTTCAAGGACCAGCCTTACGAAGTCTGCCGGGATACCGCGGGCTCAATGCGTATCCGCTTCCTCGAAGGCGACGTCCACAACGCGGAATTCGACATAGCGTCTCGGGAGCAGGTGGTACGAGAGCTTGCAGAAGTCAAGGAATCCATCGCCAGTGCCGAGAAGGTAGACCAAATAGTTGGCACTGTTTACTACAAAGATAAACCGTACGAAGTGTGCAGCGATGTCTCTGGCGTGATGAGGCTACGCTTCAGGGAGGGAGATGTCTCCAACGCTGAGTTCGACATACGCTCAAGGCAACAGGTGGAGGAGGAGATCTCCATGGTCAAGGAAGCTGTTTCCTCCGCCGAAAGAGTGGAACAAGTTGTGGGAACGATCTATTACAAAGACCAACCGTACGACGTATGTCGGGACGTCACCGGGGCCATGCGCATGAGGTTCCGTACTGAAGACGTCCACAACGCCGAATTCGACACGCGCGAAAGAGAGGAGATTGAATACGAGATTCAACGTGTCAAGGAGGAACGTGCCCAGACGGAGTTTGAAGAGCAGATTGTCGGCACGATCTACTACAAAGACCAGCCTTACGAGGTCTGCCGGGACACTGTTGGCCGCCTGCAGATCCGTTGGGGACAGGGCGACGTGCAGAACGCCGAACTCACCGACGTGGGCAAACTGAAACTTGCGCAGGAAATAGAGGAAGTGCACAAAGAACGGGCAACCGCTGGGCGCATCAAACAGGACGTGGGAGCAATCTACGACAAAGAAGCCCCTGGACCAGAGGTGGGCAAATTGAAGTGGGAAATGCAGCAGAAGTTTAGAGAAGGCGACGTCTTCAATGCTGAACTTGACCGCACGGATTGGCTGAAGGCCCAACAGGAGATTGAACGCGTTCGGATCGAGCGCAAGGACTTCCAGCCTGAAGACCAAGTGGTCGGGGCCATCTATTTCAAGGATCAGCCATACGACGTCTGCAAGGACGTTACTGGAGCTCTTCGGCTTATGTTCCGCACAGGCGAAGTCATACATGCCGACTTCGACGAGTCTTTCCGCCTCCAGGCGTTGGAGGAGATTGAAGAGGTGCGGCGGGAGAGAGCTCAGGCTCAGTTTGAAGAGCAGATCGTCGGCACGGTGTACTACAAAGACCAGCCTTACGACATCTGTCAGGATCTGGCGGGGAAACTGAGACTCAGGTTCCTGAAGGGAGATGTTCACAACGCCGAGTTGACAGACGTCGGGAAACTGCAGCTTCAGCGCGAGATAGAGGAAGTTGAGCGGGAGCGAGTCGGCGCACAGCCGATAGACCAGCGTGTCGGGACCAACTACACACCAGAAAAGCCCAGCAAGGATGTCGGGAAGGTGAAGTGGGCCATGCAAAACAAATTCAAGAAAGGCGACGTGTCAAACATCGAGATCGACAGGGAGTACTACCAACAAAAGGCCCAGGAATTGGAGGAAGTCAAGGTGGGACGTTTGCAGTTCGAGCCTGTGGAACAGGTTGTTGGTACAGTGTACTACAAGGAGATACCTTTTGAAGTCTGCAAGGACGTCGGCGGGCAGCTAAGGATGCGTTTCCGAAAGGGCAACGTCAGCAACATTGAAATAGACGAAGAAGCCCGAATGATGACCTTGAAGGAGCTTGAACTGGTCCAGGAAGAAAGAAAGAAAGCCGTCTTTGAGAAACAAACTGTAGGGACTGTTTATTGGAAGGATAAGCCGTATGAGATTTGTAGAGACACAACCGGCAAGCTGCTCATGCGTTTCCTAGAAGGAGACGTCCACAACGCAGAGCTTTCTGACGTTGGTAAACTCCAACTGCAAGAGGAGATATCAGAGGTTCAGAAAGAAAGAGCAAGCGCGCAGCCACTCAACCAGCAAGTTGGCACGAATTACACCCCAGAAAAACCATCCAAAGACGTCGGCAAAGTCAAATGGACCATGCAAGACAAGTTTAAGAAAGGCGACGTCAGCAACATAGAGATCAATCGAGAATACTACGAAGAGAAAGCCAAGGAGATTGAGGAAGTTAAAGTAGGCCGTCTCAACTTTGAAGCGGAAGAGCAAATTGTAGGCACGGTCTACTACAAGGACCGACCTTACGAAGTTTGCCGAGATCTCGCTGGACAGCTGAGAATGCGTTTCGCACAAGGAGACGTGAGCAACATAGAAATAGACGAAGAAACAAGAAGGAGGGCCTTGGAGGAGCTGGAGCTGGTCCGCGAAGAACGACAGAAAGCCGAATTTGAAGAGCAGATCGTAGGAACGGTATACTGGAAAGACCAGCCCTACGAAGTCTGTAGAGACACCACTGGGAAACTTTTGATGACTTTCCTGAAGGGCGACGTCCACAACGCCGAGCTTCGCGATGTAGGGAAGTTAGAAATCAAGCAAGAGATCGAAGAAGTTCAAAAGAGAGAGCACATGCCCAACCTCTCGACCAGCAAGTGGGAACCAACTACACTCCAGAAAAGCTCCCGCTGACATCGGGAAAATCAAATGGTCTATGCAAAACAAGTTCAAGAAGGGAGATGTATCTAACATTGAAATTGATCGCGAATATTATGTCGAAAAAGAAAAGGAACTTGAAGAAGTCAAAGTCGGGCGTCTCAACTTCGAGCAAGTCGATCAACAAGTCGGCACGGTGTACGAGAAGGACGTGGTGCCAGCAGCCGTCAAGGTCGTCAAGAAGGAAGCGTCGAGGAAGTTCAAGGCAGGTGGCGTCAGCAACGCCGAATTTGACGTCTCTTCCCGTATGGAGGCTCTCCAGGAGCTGGAGGAGGTCCGCACGGAGCGCTCGCAGATGGAATTCGAGCAGCAGGTCGTCGGAACCGTGTACGAGAAAGACGTCCCTCCCCCGGAATGCAAAGTGCGTAAAGTCGTCGCCGAGAAATTCAAGAAGGGCGATGTCTCCAACATCGAGATCAACAGGGAGGTCTTCGAGCAGAAACAGAAGGAGTTGGAGGAGGTTCGCGTCGGCCGTCTGAGCATCGAGGCGGAGGACCAGATCGTAGGCGCGCGGTACGACAAGGAGGTGCCGCCGTCCAGAATCGACACGGCGAAGGAAGCGAGGATGAAGTTCCTGCAGGGACAGGTGTCCAACGCCGAGCTGGACGACCGGACCCGCCAGGAGGCGCTGGCGGAGCTGGAGTCGGTCCGGTCCGCCCGGCTGCAGATGGAGGAAGTGCGGCAGGAAGTCGGCACCAGGTAAACCCAACGGGAAAGGATACGTCTCTACCAGGCTTCTTCGGAAGCGGCTGAAAAAGTACTATAGTGTAATAGAGACATTAAACTGCGCACAACAATGGGATGGTAAAGTTTATGATTAAATCAGATACAAATTTAAAAACAAGATACAGAAATATTTGCTAGAAAGAGTAGAAATTGGCCAAATAGATATTAGGTAATATTTGCCGCAAATGTAGCCCTTACTCCCCCTGCATGTTATCTGTCTATTTGGCCAATTTCTACTCACTGTCGTCGCTTCCGAAGCCTGGTAGAGACTAGAAAAGGATATTATCGTAAAATAAAAGGTATTCCAAAATAACAAACAACATGATTCAGCTTTTTAGCACGAATGTTAAACTACCATTTCATTTTCCGTCGGTAGGTCCCGAAGTACAAATATAGATCATTGAGATGATGCACCGAAGACGAACCATATCATAAAACTGTTGGTCTCTATCATTTCTTTATCATTTCCAGGTATGACAAGGATCTGCCGCCGCCCGAGTGCAGCCAAGTCAAAAAGATCGTAGCAGCGAAGTTCAAGGAAGGAGACGTGCACAACGCCGAGTTGGACTTCCGCTCCAGACTCGAAGCAGAAAAGGTAGCTAGACGCAGCATTGGAGATGTTTGAAAATTGCACACCTCATTCTTTCAATTATATAAACCAAGCCCATTTCGTTTTAAAAGCGCTTGGAATGTTTGTAAGCCGTGAATGACTACTTCTGGGTACGGAAGTATTGCTTTGGGTGGCTTACTGGTGAGTTTAATTTCTTGTTGTGGAAGGTAATCTTACCGGTTAACCATGCTGGATTCAGATACATATTTTCTTCTGCTTCGTCATCAGGAAATAGAGCGTGTTCTGGTGGAGAGGCAGCAGTACGAGGACGAGGTACTTCCGGTCGGCACGGTGGTGGAGAAGGAACGCGCGGATCTGGTCTGCAGGGACGCCTCGCGGCAGGTCAAAGGCCGCTTCGTCAACGGAGTGGTGGAGGACGAGCACGAGCACGACCCTGGTCTGAAGGAACGAGAAGAAATCACCGAGGTGATACTTTTCTACTGCTCCATATGTCAATACTTCGCACAGCAGCTAGGTGTCGCTGCTGCAGTGCGATAAATTCTTCACACTTCAGCAGCGACATCTAGCTGCAGTGCGAAGTATAACGAGCTAGTATGGTCCTGTATCTGTCATTCGCAGCTTTTTGTTCTACCATTACATACTTCAAAAGAGTCTCAAAACAGAACTCCGGTGTTTAAGGCGTGAAAACATTGTGTAGAAGCTGTATTTTTTATGGTGTAGAAGCTGTATTTTTCATGATATAGAAGCTGTATTTTTCATGGGGTAGAAGCTGTATTTTTCATGTGTAGCTGTATTTTTCATGGTGAACAAGCTGTATTTTTCATGGTGTAGAAGCTGTATTTTTCATGGTGTAGAAGCTGTAATTTTCATGGAGCAGAAGCTGTATTTTTCATGTGTAGCTGTATTTTTCATGGTGTAGAAGCTGTATCTTTCATGGTGTAGAAGTTGTAATTTTAATTTTTCACGAGACGGAGGAATGACAACTACTACATCCTGATGTCATTTTTTTGTCGCGACGACTTGACTTTATTAGTTTCCAATTGGTTCACAATGTCAACTGTTGTTCCCACCATGTGTAGGAGATCCTGATGATCCGTCAGAGACAGTTGGAGGAGGAAGAGCGGCTGATCAGGGAGCGGTTCGAGCGGGGCGAGATCATCAGCGAGGAGGTGATCCAGAGGCTGAGGGAATCCCGCAAGAGGATCCAGGAGGAGATCGAGGTATCGTTTGGCTCAGGTGTCAATCATGCCACTCAGGGTGCCGCTCATTGGTCAAGAGCATGTCCTCCCTGCATGCACTGAAGAATTGTAATTTGGTGGTCTTTACACGACTTCATGCAAGATGACATCGATCTGAAACTTCATCTTTACTATGGGTGGCTTATAGAGATTTTAATAGAATGCACTAGGATGTATGTATAATAATCAACCCAAAAATATTATTACCCAGCATTGTAGATCTGCTCTCATTTTGATGATGTTGAATGGTGCCGTCATGATCAGTAATATATTTTTTTACTGATAATGTAAAACCAACTAATTTGTTCTTAGAGTTTTGGAAGATATCGTTTGTACAAAGAAACATCTTAACCACAAAACCACACACTATACTGATTTAAAACAGGTGCATTTTAGTATATATTAGGTTCAGTTTACATTACGTTTTCGGTCACATAGTTCGAATTTTATCTTGAAAGTTCATCTGTGTTGGTAGATCTAGAAGTCATTATGCAGGAAATTGTAACTGGACTTTCCAACACAAGGTCAGGGAATATTGGACTTACCCAAATTTTGCTGTGATGTAAACTGACTTGACTCTAAAATACTGATTCAGGAGAATGTTGAATTTTCAGGAGTACGTGTTGAGGACTCCGACCGAGATCCGAGTGGTGTACGAGTCGGAGCCGATCGAGAGCGACCTGCCACACGAAGGCGACATGGAGGACGTCCCCGTGGTGCTCGGCAAGTCCAGGAGCGTTCGGAAGCGCTTCGAGAGCATGGGGGGCGAGGAGGAGCTGGTCATCATGCACGTGCCCAAGGACAGGATCTGGGTACGTATTATCCATGTAGTACTTGTGCAATGGCCAAGTGGGTAGAGTGCTCGCCTATTCGGTAGGTCGTGAGTTCGATCCCTGGCCAAGTCATACTGCTTTCTCTGCTTAACACTCAGCCTTTGGGAAATGGGAGTATGGGAGTTTAATACACACCACTACCAGTGGACTTGGTGGCAACAAGAAGGTTAAATACAAGCGTCCTTTGTGGCAACGAGTTTTCCCATCTACGATATTTCTTTGAAAAACGACATTTTCAATGCCTCAATCATAGGTTAATAACATTTCTAGTATTGCACTTTTCTAAAGATTCCCCTCCTCTGATGACCAGTACTAGCTGTTGCAAAAAGAGGCATAAAACACTGAGAATGAGGCAGATCCTGCCTCGAGGCTGCGCACTTCCTGTAGTGTTTCTAATATGTATTTACTATTTTTTGCCAATCAGAAAGCGGCTACTGTCCTGCCAGGGAAGGAGTACTGCTTCGTGTGTGGGAAGCGCGTCTGGCCAATGGAGAGGCTGAGCGCTGATGACGTCACCTATCACCGTGGCTGTTTCCGCTGCCAGAAGTGTAGCCGTTGCTTGAGGTGGGTTCAGGGCCAGACTTAACTCACAAGCCTTCTTTTTAAGGCCCGTGACACACATAGCTGAATCCTACCCCCCCCCCCCCAAATAATAGTACTGGCGAACGTTCGGAGTAGGTCGGGAGCAAAGTCAGTTGTGATTGGCTGGTCAGCTACCGTTTCAAAATGTTGAAAACATTCGGGTGTGGACGGGAGCTTCGGCCAAGATGGTTGGCTGGTGTTCGGGAGTAGGCTAACAGTGGTCTGGGCATACTCGGGAGTCAAATTTGAGCCACATTTAACTCAAATTCGATTTAATTCGAATAGTAAAAATGGGCTTCAGACGGGAAGGTAAAGGGTGGTGAAAGGAGATGGTTGGGCTCCAGCTTCTAATACCGTGCCCTAAAAATGGTAGATTAACAATTCACTGTCCTTACAGCCTCAAAAAGGCTATGGGTCTACCCTTTCCTACATTTTACCCTGACTGCTTGATCCTTTTCCCCCACAGCCTTCGCGAGTACGTCGCCTACAACGGCAACCTGTACTGCCGCCCTCACTTCTTCGAGATCACAGGCCACCGCAGGGGCCTGTTCTACTTCTTCACGGACAAGTTGGAGGAGGGGAAAGCTCCGGAGCCCGTCATCGAGAAGCCGCCGACACCCCCTCCCGAGCCCAAGAAGGTCGTGTTCACCCCCGCACCGGCACCCCCGCCTCCTAAGAAACACAAAGTAAGTTACTGGGACAGTCGTAACAATGGTATTGCCACATGCCATGTGTCAGATAATTGTAAAATATATGCATGCATCTACGCGTATGCTGCACACACAAGATCGACAGTAAAGTACCCACGTTTGACCCTATTGTAAATCAAACTGATCACGATGTAAGATTCTGCTTTTTTATCACCACTAATGCTTTTCTGCCCCACTTTTAAAGTAGAAGAACACCATTTCCGGGGTATATTTACAGAAAATGCAATTAACATAAACGCTTTCAATGTTGCATTGTAGCATTTGGGGCTTTAAATGTGATTAAGCTGTGCAATGGAACACATTGTTGCTGTTCTTCGTGCATTTTTTGCTTGCTATGTGCTAAGTGTTTTGTCTTTTTCCCTTGTTGCATGTCAGCGTTTTCATGTATTGTTATAGTGTTGTAGATTTCTAGAAAACATCCTCTTCTGCAACCAACCCCTCTTACGTTAAACCGTTACGTATTTAGATAAAGTAATGGTATGTGACGTTCATACTAGTATAGCAACCAATGCACGGCATGGGAAAGCTTCGTTGTAATTGTAGCGTAGCCAAACATTGTTGTCATTGTAAAAAAAAAAAACCTGTCCTAACGTTACACACAAAACTCCGTGTGAATTTAGCATTCTGCACATGTGTCTACACAGATGACCAAATCTAGAGCAATTCATGAACGGATCTGAGATGACGTCATCGTAGCTTGATTAGTTAGACAGCGAGTTTTAGTAGAAACGTAGTTTAGGTTTGCTGTTCGCTGTTTGGTAGTTTAGCGCGGCTATGTACAGCTAACTCGCACCTTGAAGAAACGGTTTTTTCACTCACCTCTGGTTTGGGATTTTCGAATCATTCTAACTCCCAGAAAAATTAAAAATAACGACTTCAAGGTGGTAAAGCTCACTCTAATCCAGCCGTTTCACGAAGGTGCGGGTTCGCTCTAAATGCAGGTGGTTAAGGTGGAGATGATACGGAACGCCAGGGTTCAGTTAGAGAAGCCCAGCGGCCAGTCTCCGCACCAATTCCTCCCTCCCCACGTTCCCCCTACACCGCCCCCAAGGATCGAACCCCCAAAGGTAAACCATGGCGCATCGCTGTGGTGAATGCGTCAACTGAGTTGTTCTCGGTTGTCCCAACATGCACGTTTTATCTCACTTTCCTTCTATCCAGTAACTAAACCTTTAGACATCTCAGGATTGGTAGATAAAATGTCCTAAAACATTGTTTCCTTCACTGAGATAAGTTTGTAAGACGAAGTGTGAGCGCATGCATTTTGTCTTTGACAAGATAGAAAATTTAGCCTGGGTACCATCCGGATTTTCGCTCCGCAACGCTCGGAGAAAAGATTTTTCGAGCATTGCGGAGCGAAAATCCGGATGGTACCCAGGCTATAGAAAATTGGCATGGACTTATGTTGTCGAATAAATGAATTTTCTTTTGCATTTTCTGCTTACTCCAAAGTTTTCTTCGCTTTTTGATGACCAAAACGTTCTAGCTCTGCCTTGTGGAAAGAACATAAATGAGATGAAAAAAATAGATGCAACGTGTTCCTTAGCTTGATGAAGTTGAGTGATGTGTTTTTATGTACAACAGGTGAAGTTTGAGGAACCAACCCTGGTGCCCGCAGCCGAGCCCCGTAAAGTGACGGTTGGGCCCGTGGCCGGCACTAAGACGGTGACCAAGGCGGTCGTCCCCGAGCCAGTGAGGGGTCCCAAGGCTGTGATCATCGGACCCGTCGTAGACTCCCGAGAAGTGGCGACCGGTGGCCGACAGGTCTCGACCAAACGCGAGGAAAGCCGAGACGTGGCGATCAAACGCGACGAAACTCGAAAGGTATTCGTCGGCCCAGCCCAAGTGACCACAAAGGTTGAAACAGTGGTAAGTTGAAAATATAACAACAAAATCAAAATGTCCTTGAAACAAAATACATTAGCACTATATGCCAATCATCTGTATCGCAGTCTTTAGAAACATGAATTAAATAATCTTTCGTGTCAATAAAGTCATTATATCTATAGCCCCTGTTACACTGTCACGAATATGGTTGCCCGAACACTCAAAATGTCTAATTTCAGACGGGCGACCCGACCGTACAGCGCCACGTGGAGACCGGGCCCGTGGAGGAGGTACGGGAGGTCATCACCGACCCAGACGGCACCAAACGCACCATCATCCGCCGCCGTGTCGTCAAGACCACCAAGACAACCACCAGCACCCCCGTCATCACCAAACGGGTGGAAACCAAGACGCAAGCGGTAGGATCATCTCACTATCATTTGATCTACATTTTCGAAAATAACTTCATCTGGTTGGTAAAACAGAATATTGGAGCTTTCTTCTTACCGGTATAAACTCTCACCTGCGCATGCTTATGCTTCGATGCCTATCAGGCATCTTCCTTGGAGCTTCTGACTTGAGTACTGCTACCTTCTCGCCGCTATTTGTAGCCGATGTAGGTGGCACTTTTTGCGGAGAGAACACAATCCCAAAAGTTTGTATCCACCTTGTCGAGGTTCATTACTGAGATTGTGGTCTGGCGAAAGCCCAATATCGTAATCTACATTTTACTTTGCTTCATACTGCCTGACCCAAGCACGAGCCAAGAAATTCTCTTTTTATATTCTTTCCTTGAATTGTATGTACCACCATCATTATGTTCTGATATTTCATAAACAGAGACAGATTTGCATTCTTGTGATTTGACAAAATAAATGAATAAGAAACAATATTCACCAGGCTAGGAAACTCAAATATGTAATTGAACCAGTAACAATTTGTCACACACAGTACTAAGTTTGTCGCGTTCTAAGTTAGTATGATTTGTTTTCGCTTGCGTGTGCATGACGTCATTATTTACCCTCCAAAGTAACGAGTTTCAGTTTGATGCTGTTGTGAAAGGCATCTTATGTAATTTCAGGGCGGCAATGGATTTACAAAGTCAATTTTCTAGTCATTCTTTTAATGTAAGTTGAATCAATCGTATTCCATAGCATACTGATATTTCTGAGACAAAAATATGATGCCTGTAACAGAAAATTTTTGCTTGTTTTGTATCGTAAGTTTGTTTTTTGTGGGTGGTTGGCTAGCTATTTGTGATTGTTGCCCAAAAAAATAAAGAGACTCCTCACGTAGCTTGTTTCTAGAATTCTAGGCTATTTTAAATGCTTCAAGTATGAATGATGAGGAGAATGTGGTAAGAAATCAGTATCTGTCAATATGAGACAGATCTCCTCATTCAGGATATGTTTTGTTTTGCCTCCCTAAAATTGCATTGGATGACTTTAACCTTAACCCGACATCATAACTCAGGCAAGCGCGAACGGCATGACGGGGAGTGACACAAACATGGCTGCCCCGGATTCACCCAGTGATGAGGAGGAAGAACTTCGGGAATTTGGTAGATGTCTAACTGTTTGCTCCTTAAGAAACTAATGACAATCTAAAGACTTAATGTAAGTAACAACATGATCCGTCGATACCATTCCATGAAACATTAACATTATGGCAATTTCTGAAGTTACTAGTGCCCTAAACCGTTCATTACATAACGTTAACTCAAGGACATTATATGTAATATCCTTGCATAACTACATGTATATCAATAACCAAGCACCTAACTGTTTCTTGTAGAATTTTTTTACATTTTTATGTTATACTCAAAATGAAAAATGTGTCATTTTTCTTTTATGCTTGCGTAGGTCCGGTCTGGAGTAACTCGCACAGCTGAAAAGAAAGTCACCATGTCCTCGAAGCAGGTGACGTCATCATCCGGAGAATCTGTCGCCAAGGCAACCAAGACGATCACCCGACAAGTCTCCCCTGGGGACGTGCGGGTGGAAACGCAGATCAAACAAGCTCGTTCCCAGGAGAAAACGTCAGTAAGCAAACGTACCACATAAAGAAGGTCGAGAATAGAAAGCAGTTCATAAATTTGATGCACAACATTTCAAAGGAAAAACAAAACAAGAATACGAAATACGGAAAAATGTGTGTGATAAGTGACAACAAGGTCACCCTTCGAGAAATCATATTTCATAATCGTCTAAAAATGGCAGGCGTGAAAGGCAGTTTTGACGACACGACATTCAACAAAAAAATATCAATAATGTTATTTATATTAAGAACTCAAGTATAACGTTTTGGCCTACTATCTGAAGTGCCACATGTATCTGATTATGACGTCGTTTTTTCCAAAGCAATTGCAAAAGCAACAAAGTATTTACATTATCAATAACTGAATGTTTTTTTTCATATGAATATACTGAGTGGACGAATAGTTACCGTTTTTGTGCTTCATTTAGCTCATATATCCATAGGCTGTGTGTTAATTTTCAAAAGTATCTCCAAAGCAATTTAATAGTGACATATGATGATGATATAGCAATATCAATATATCTATCCATTGCCTTGCCACCTAGGTGCCTACCAACTTGTGTGGGATGATTTTGTCCCATAGAAGTGTGTTCTTACAAAAATTGCTTAAACTCTATTTACAGACTCTGCATGAAGCAAAACATGAATTCATGGATGGAAGAGCTTTATTTTATGGCAAAATCTTGAAGCTTCATGCTAGAAACAGAGTTTGGGTGAAAACTAGCTTTGGCGAAATACTTCTATATCCACGCAAGACGACGTGCCTCGAATGTAACACAGCAATCAAGTTTCTAAAGGCTATGGAGTGACATGAATCATATGTATGCTACTTTAAAACCCATTTTGCTTTATGTATATCCAGTATGTGCAATAGGATTTGAAGATTTATCTTAAGTTAAACATGTATTTTATGCTACATCCAAACTGCTGACATATAGTGACTCGCTAGAGGGAGCAGTAGTACGGTATCGTCATTTTCATGATGTTTATGTAAACCCGAATTTGCTTTCAGTGCTTAAGTAAACGACAATACTACTGCTGGGCTTGTTAAGGCAGTGTCATAAAATAAAATCGACATCTGAACTGTCGAGAAGCATTCTCTTCATCTTTTGTAAGAGCAACCATGGATCAATAGTATGGGAGGTGCGCGCGCTCGTATGTGTATATGTGTGTGCGTGTATTTGCGTGTGAATATCGGTATGTATGTATGTAATTATGTATGTATGCCTGTATGTATGTATGTGTGTTTGTGTGCATGTGTTTATGTTTCTGTGTGTATGTATGTATGTATGTATGTATGTATGTCTGCATGTGTGTGTGTGTGTGTGTGTTTATGTGTGTGTTTGCGTGGTGTGTGTGTGTGTGTGTGTTTGCGTGGTGTGTGTGTGTGTGTGTTTATGTGTGTTTATGTGTGTGTTTGCGTGGTGTGTGNGTGTGTGTGTGTGTGTGTGTGTGTGTGTGTGTGTGTGTGTGTGTGTGTGTGTGTGTGTGTGTGTGTGTGTGTGTGTGTGTGTATAGGAACGCAAAGGTTGACGGAACAAGTACCTAAAGGAAAACAACTGAAGAAACCACGTGCATAAGAAAAGGAAGATTTCCCAACAAGTATGCGTAAGTACTTCCACACATCTTACGATCCTTTCTGTTTCGTTCCGAACTTGATAGCTTGAATTGCATTCCATCCAAAACATCTTGCTGTCCTTATTTGCGCACCCTCTATTTCACTATGCGTTATCTGGCGGACCTTAAGTCTACAGTAGACTTGCCTGAGAAATACTAAACTGTACGAACGATCCCCAGCATTCATAAGAAATCCGATTCGGAACTGTTCGGACGGTCCCTGCCATCCATCCAGCGGCACCCGACAGTCCTGATGTCTAATTTAGCGGCCGCCAATTCAGAAAATTTGTGCGGCACCATCTCCATCATGTCTGGGTCGGGCTGCAGACGACAGCGATCCATTAGTACTAAATCCTGCCGCGGTGCCAGCAATCGGCATCCATCGCTTCAACAGTCATTCCTGAAGTCAATCCCCAAAGGACATCATCTGTAAACCTCAGATAAGATGTCCGTGTAGAGTAACTGGTCGAAAGATAATAAGTGAGAGAACCTTTGTGTTGGATCTAAAGTTTTAACTCTAAACATGTCCGTATATAATGTCAGTGCACAGTGAACCAGTCAGAATCGCCCTGATGAAGATGACAGACGGTCCTCCAAAACGCCTCTTGTAAACAAGTGGTTGTGAATAAAGAACTTTGATATTCTCTCAAATAAGATGAGAGTGCAAAAAAATAATACGAAAATACACAAATTGGAAAGCCGTGCTATTCAGCTGATACTATTTGAGTTGAATTTGAGCCAAATTTGACCCCCCGAACACGCCCCGACCGTTCTGACCTACTCCCATCAACCAGCCAACCAGTCCCCAACCGTGGCCGAGCCTCCTGTCCACACCCGACTGTTTTAAACATTCGGCAGGTGCAGCCGAACAACTGTAGCCGACCTCGCCGAACACCAGCCAACAACGGCCGACCTTGCTCCCGATCTACTCACAAACCCTATCCATGGTTGGGGGGAGTTCTGCCGTGTTTGGGAGGCTTTGTTCAGCTCTGTGTGACAGGGACTTAAGGATTGTTGATGGCCAAGACTTCAAACCGGCGCGAAGAAAGTTTAGTACATCACGTTTACAGAGTCCCCGTACAAAGGACCTGTGTCCAGTTGTACAGGTGTTTTGGTGTAGAACAGGTCCCAGCTACAAGCGCCACACGTGCACGACGGGGTGTAAAACATTCTCTCTATCGTAAGCTATCGCCGGCTGTTTATCCAGCACATTCTTAGCTTTGTTTTCTACCTGCTGGTTATGTCACGGTGTTGGATGTGAGTAATAAGTGTGAAGCCGAGCAGGACGAATCGCGGCCGGGACAATGCCGCGCGATCTACCCCGTACATCTGTCACGCCATTCTTGTCTGACGGGCGGGCATTGATCCCGTCTGTCGAACGTTTCACGGCAAACTTCACCTGTAAAAAACAGTTTGTTTTCAAACCCCAGGAAACAGCGAGGTCGCTATTCATGGGCAGTGGGCTGTCCGTCAACACGGGGACACCGAAGACGGGCACGCCAACGCACGACCAGGACAACAACGAGGGGTTCGGCTGACGGGAGAAATCGGAAACTGCGCAGCAACTGTTCCTGACCGGACCCGTTGTTTTTGAGACGCAAGGATGGCTGGTGGTCTATAGATGATTCAAATTTGGCAGCGAAACGCGAAGAAAAATAACTATTGAAATGCATCGGTGCGACAAAAAAATTCCCGCGTTCTGTTACAAACGTATATAATATAACATCGTCAGCACAATCTCGAAGCAGGCGCGTGGCTCTAGACTTGGTTTCTTTTCTTTTTCCTTTTTTGCTACGTTCCGTTACTTAGTCTTTCTAGTTTCCGGTAGCCTCCAACAGGCCTTTCTAAGGTGTTATAGACTGTAGTAAAATTCGGCAAAAATAGAGTCCATGGAGCGAGCTGGGTAACGTGGCCAAACTTCCCTCGTCAATTATTCTCCATAGTTGGCTGAACTTTACTATTTATCTTTTTATCTTTGTTATCATATTAGTCTGGTGGAGACTAAATTTATGTTGGAGAGACATGCAGACAAGAAAAAGTTAGCGAACAAGAGCCGCATAAAACGCCGCAAAACAGGTGTAAAACAAGCTTAAGCCGGAATTACGCCCCTGTTACACCTTCCGCCGAACACCACACAACCAAGGTTGGCAGAAGTTCGGCAGCAGTCGCACCAGATTTAGGCCACTCCTACAATTTTCTAAACGAATCGAATCGAATTTGAGTTAAATTTGAGTCAAACTTGACTGCTTTACCACGCCTCCCGAACACCAGCCAACCACCACCCAACCATGCCAGAACTTCCCGTCAACACCCGAATGTTTTGAACATTTTGAAACATTTGGTTGCCGCAGCCGAACGGTAGCCGACCGGATGAACACCAGTCGACCCAGCCGACCTTGCTCCCGACCATGGTTGGGGGGAGTTCGGCAGTGTTTGGGAAGCCACATTCGGCTATGTGTGACAGGGGCTTTACGCATCTGCTTGGAGATTAACGCTGCCAACGTGCAGACGACAGAGATGTATGACAGGACGTCCAGGGAACCATTTAACCCACTGCTCACGTTCTGCCGTAGGATGACAAATGGTGTATCATCAGGAAAATAGCGTTGGGTCTGCTCCCGGCGCCCGGCTGGGCCCATTTCATCAGGCAGCCCGCCGGCAGCGTGTCGCCGCCCTGTCAGGTGTCAAACGACATTATTCTGTCAGCACGCAATTAACGTTTTACCGACCCAAATTCTAACCGTTTGTTACCATTCCAGACACCCGGGCTGACAGCTGAGGCGTGAGCCGAGTAACCTGGCTTTGTTACCTTCGTCAGAAGGCTATGTTTTTGGTAGCGTTTATATATGTGTGTATGTATGTATGTATGTATGTATGTATATATGTGTGTGTGTTTGTGCGTATGTGTGTTTGTGTGTGTGTGTGCGCGCGCGCGCGAGTCTGTCTGTGCGTTCGTGCGTTCGTGCGTACGTGTGTGTGTTACTGCCTGGCCAATTCGATACTGTCTTTTTGCCAACCTAGGATCTGCTTGGAGATTAGAGTTTTGGTCTCCCACATTGAATTACGTAGTTATGAAGTTTGACACGAGTTTGCCGTCCCTAACGTGGTTTGTTCTGCAGCTAGACACTGGCACATGGCCAACCATGCTTTTAACCTCCCCAAACACTTCGTCAAATTACTTTAACGTGAATTATTACTGTGTTTTTGCGCTTAAAACAAAGTTTATAAGGCAGAGGGGACTGGATTATGGTACTACGATATAGAATTGTCTGGAAAAAGCCAACCAGATGCATATGCCTAACACATTATCCTGACTTGGACAAATTATAATACATGTATGGCGAGTCAGAGAGGTCTGGCCTGACTTACATGATCATGCCATAGCATACGTAAGGACTAAGAACTCCAAACTGACTTACAAATATAGAGTTTCCTTTAAGAAATAAAGGACCAAATTTGCATAAACACCATTGACCTTTCCACAGCTTCTGCATATAGACATCTTTTATTGTAAGGTGAGGCCATGTTGATTTAATTGTATGGATGACATCCTCTGAGAACCTCCAAAGCGTGCAAATAGAAAAAGTTTGACAAAAAAAGTTGCCTTCATTATGACACCTACGTGGTCATGAAGGTTGAACAAACAACTAAACACACGGAGTATGGTATGGCGAATTAACAGACTCTTCATTTTCATTTCTTCACAATTTCTTCTTTTCCTTTGCAATTTACGGCATAAATTTGCTCATTTTGCAGCTGCATTGTACAATATACAGAAAACCTTTTTTTTAACAGACGAAAATCCATGCGCGCGTGGATGTCATCCATATGATCAAATCAACATGGCCTAAGCTGCCACACACAACACGTCCTTACTAATACTACGATCCATAAACTCAGACAATTAACTACCGTGGCCGACAAGAACAAAATTTTACACCGCAACTTTTGGTGTTTTACACCGCAACTTTTGGTGTTTTACACTGCAACTTTGGGTGTTTTACACTGCAACTTTGGGTGTTTTACACTGCAACTTTTGCTGTGTTTTACACTGCAACTTTTGCTGTGTTTTACACTGCAACTTTTGGTGTTTTACACTGCAACTTTTGCTGTGTTTTACACTGCAACTTTTGGTGTTTTACACTAAAACTTTTGCTGTGTGGAAAACTTACACCCCTCCCCTTTTATAATGGACGGTCCCCCTGTCAGGTCAAAGGTGACAACGATGGCATGCAAACTACGTCGACTGAGTTATCCTTTTCGTGCATAAGTTTTTTAGAGGAAAAGCTTGGCTACGTTGTGACGTTAGTTTTTTTCTAAAGGTTTTTCTAGCTTTGGCCTATAGATCGGGATAAATTTAAAAATGTTTCGACCAGGTCCAGTGATTACAAATTATGTTGCTTTTTGCTGCCATGCGTCACAACAAATTTATCAAGGACGTCAGATATCCAGCTCCAGACATCAACAGCAATGACATAAATTTTCTGCAGGTTAGTTCATTATTATTGGGTATGGACATTGTTTTTCTTCATTTTAATGTCCCGAGACGTCAGCTTGTGACTTGCCGCCGCCATCTTTGTCACCTTTGACCTGACAGGGGGACCGTCCATTAAAAAGGGGGAGGGGGTTGTAAGTTTTCCACACAGCAAAAGTTGCAATGTAAAACACAGCAAAAGTTGCAGTATAAAACACAGCAAAAGTTGCAGTGTAAAACACCCAAAGTTGCAGTGTAAAACACCAGAAGTTGCAGTGTAAAACACCCAAAGTTGCAGTGTAAAACACCAAAAGTTGCGGTGTAAAACACCAAAAGTTGCGGTGTAAAATTTTGTACTTGTCGGCCACGGTAATTAACAGTTCATATTTTTTTAACTTTGCCGCGCCTAAGATGTACACAATGACTCAACACTCCAGGGGTTTCTAAGACAAGCCACTTCAAACCTCCAAGTGTTTTGGAAAATGTTATGCCGTCTGCCTAGCTCAAGCCGTACGTACATTGTGCTTCATTCCTATTGCCACATATAACACCCATGTTGTGAAAACGTCGTGAAATCTGTTCGTTGATGATATGTCATTGGATCATTCATTCGCTCGTCCGGTCCTTCATTCGTTCGTAATTTAGCTGCAATTCTCCGTCAGACCGAAAGGTGTCGAGTTTTGTAGGACAGTGTGACCATCACCAGGTGTGTGCTGGGACGATGCATTGCTACATGACAAGGGAGGAACGCACAATCAAGCGCGTGCGCGCGCGCGCACACACACACACACACACACACACACACACACACACACACACACACACACACACACACACACACACACACACACACACACACACACACACAGTTACAATGTAAGTTTTGGAAACTCTTTTAAGTTCATCCAGATATCAAATTAAGAAAAAAATGCAGCCAGGACACAGGTATGTAAATATTTCTGTCCTACAGCACTTTGCAACTCATTGTGCACTTTTTAGTGCTTTTGTAGACCTATAACACTCTTCTTCCAAAATGCTTTTTGTTGCATTCTCTTTTATGATTTCTGTCCAGAGATGTATTTTTAAGGAACCTGTATAAAGTACTGTGTTTTTTGTTTACTACATGTACTTGTAGTCCAAATAAGA